CAACCCAACATCACATTCAGACCCCTTCCCCACACACAGATTACCAGGCCCAGGTACCCAAACCAACATCACATTCAGATTTCTATACCCAACCCAACATCATGTACAGATCAAAAACAAAACAAAGAGCTGTGGATCCTGGAGATCTGGAAACAAAAAAAAACTCGGGAAACTCAGCAGGTCTGGCAGCATCTGTGGAGAGAAAGCAGAGTTGATGTTCTGGCTCCAGTGACTGAGCTGGAGTTTCCCCAGCAATTTCTGATTTCATATCACATGCAGATCCATCCAATGGTTCACTTTCAATTATTGTCACAGACTTGACATCCAAACATTTATTCAGCATGAATTATAAACGATACAGATCAACATGGCCCAGCAATTCCATTGAGTTATATAACACAGAGAAGGGCCCTTTGGCCCATCATGTCCACACTGGTCTAAACAATCCACCTAACTATTCTAATCGCATTTTCGAGCAGTTAGTGTTACAAGTGTACGTCCAGAGGTTTCTGCCTCTACCACCCTTACAAGCAGGTTCCATACAATTGTAAATAGATATTTTCTATCTAACCCATTCAGACACATTACTACAAACCTCTGGAGCAGGTGGGATTTATAAACAAATGCTTTCTGCCCATCGAGCCTCCTCTGCCATTCAATAAGATCATGGCTGCCTTGAACCTAGGCCTCTGACTCAGAGGTAGGGACATTACCACTAAACCACAATAGCCCTTTTGAACGTATATATTATATATTTTTTTTTTGTTCATGGGATGTGGCTATTGATGGCGAGACCTGCATTTATAGCCTATTCAAAATAGCTCTCGAGAGGATGGTAATGAACTGCCTTCTTCACTGCTGCACCCACAGTGCAGTTAGGGAAGAGGCATCAGGATTCTGGACCAGTGATGGTGGGGGAATACAATATAATTTGAAGTCAGGTCAGTACGTGATTCAGAGGGGAATTTGTAGGTGGTGGTACTCCCGTATAACTGCTGTCCTAGACCTTCAAATTGGTAGAGGTCCAAATTTGGAAGATGCTCTCAAAAGAATCTTGGTGAGTTGCTGCAGTGCATCTTGTGGATAATACACACTGCTGTCAATTGCATCAGTGGAGGGGGAAATAAATGTTTATGGTGGTGAATGTGCAAATCAAGCAGGTAGTTTTGCCCTAGATGATGTCAATGTCCTTGAGCATTGCCTCATCCAGGCAAGTGGAGACAATTTCAGGACATTCTATAAATGTGTCTTGTAGATGTGGGCAGACTTTGAGAAATCAAGAGGCGAGTTATTCATCATAGAATTTCGAGCCTCCGACCTGCTCTTTTAGCCACAATATTTATTTATATGATAGGTGCAGTTCTCAACGATCAACTCCCAGGAGGTTGATGCTGGGGGTGACACCTGTGATGATTCCATTGAACATCAAGAGGAGATGGTTCTCAGATTAGATGTTGCCATTTCTTATCACTTTCTGGCATAAATGTTGCCCATCCCCTCTTATTGCATCAGTATTTGTGAGGCTGTAAATGGCACTGAGCATTGCTGAATCATCGGCAAACATCCCCACTTCTGACCTTAGGATGGAAGGAAAGGTCATTGATAAAGTAACTGAAGATTGTTGAACACTACTTTAAGACCATAAGCATAAGAGCAGAAGTAGGCATTTCAGCTCAGCGAGTCTGCTGTGCCTCTTGATAAGATCATGGGTGATTTGAAAATCCTCAACTCCACTTTTCTGCCTTTTCCCCATAACCATTGATTCCCTCACTGATTGAAAATCTGTCCATCTCAGCCCTGAATGTACTTAATGACCCAGTGTCAATAGTGCTCTATGGTAAACAATTTCATAGATTCATTAGCCTCTAACAGAAGAAATTCCTGTTCATCTCGGTCTTAAATGTGCAACTCCTTATTCTGAAATTATGCCATCTGGCCCTAGACGCTCCCACAATCTCTCCAAATCTACCCTGCCAAGTCTTCTAAGAATCTTATGTGTTTCAAAAAGGTCACCTCTCATTCTTCGATATTGCAACAAGGACAAGCCCAGTCTACTCAACCTCTCCTTATATAAATGCCTATGAATGTCTTCATACCTGATATCAGCCTCATGAACGTTCTCCGGCCTGCCTGCAACGTCAGTATATATTTCCTTAGATAAGTTCCTGTTTACAGTATTCCAAGTGTCACCTGACTAGTATCTTATGTTGTTTTAAGAAAATCTCTCTGCTTTCTTAACAAACAAAAATGGAAATGTGAATCAGAGAGTTTAGCGGGAAATGAGCCAAATGCTGGCAAATGGGACTAGATTAATTTAGGATATCTGGTTTGCACAGACAAGTTAGACCAAAGGGTTTGTTTCCATGCTGTACATCTCTATGGCTCTATGACTAAACTCAGCAGGTCTGACAGCATCTATGGAGAGAAGACAGTTGACATTTCGAGACTAGTGTCCCTTCTACAGAATATTGCCTTCTGTTCTTAAGAAGGGTTGCTGGACTAAAAGCATTAACTCTTGTTCTCTTCACAGATGTTGTCAGACCTGCTGAATTTCTCCAGAATTTTGTTTTGTTTGTTTCAGATCTCTAGTATCTTTAGTTCTTTTTTTTATTCTCTCCACTTTTTTACTCCATTCCCTTTGCAATAGAGGCCAACATTCCATTTGCCTTCCTTATTACCCGCTGAACATGGATATCAGCTTTTTGCGGTTCATCGATGAGGACTCCAAATTCCTCCGTTCCATAGCCTTCTGCAGTCTTTCTTCATTTGAATAATATTCGGCTGTTCTCAATTCTCACTGCAAAAGTGTCTAATCTGACATTGCCCAATATTATATTCCATCTGCCAAGTTTTTAGAGGAACTCCTGCAGAGAGGTCTTGGATCTCAAATGACTGACCTCCAGGAACCATAATCATCTTCCTTTGTCTCAGGTATGGCTTCAACCTACAGATCATTTTCACAATTTCAACTGACTTTAATCTTGCAATGGTTTATCAATTCTACTTATGCACTCGATCCCTCAAAGCATCCCCATTCATTGATTATAAAGTACATAATAAACTCAACCCCAGAGTCTGCACCATCCATGCACGTTGAACATAAATAATTGCATTTACACCTAACCTCAAATGATCAAAGATCATTCCAAGCACATTCAATTTAAAATCAGTCACTGCATCCACCCTGCACAGTGCTGTACCAATTAAATACAATCAGTATAAATTAGAAACAATGTACCCATCCTCACAAGGCCCAAAACTGTCCAAGTTCAAAGCAGCATGCTTCAGAGCTAAGTAATGCCACAATTAATGGACCAGAACCAAGTTCTACCATTGTGCCATGTACAGTCATGAGTAATAATGGACATCTGAACAACTAACAAGTGGAGAAAACTCCTTGAATACTCCCATCCTTGATGATAAAGGATTATCACGTGAATGCAAAAGAGAAGGTTGAATCCATCTTCCTTTAGAAGCAGCGAGTGGAGGATCTATTTTAGTCTCCTCCTGTAGTTCCCAGTATCAAAGATGCCAGTTCTTTGATAAATTGATTCATTCTGTGATGTCAAGATATGGCTGAGTATATCCTGCACCCGACAACATCTGAACTATAGTGTTGAAAATGTACTCCAGAAGCTGTTCCAGTACAGCTGTAGTCCCAACTTCTGCCTGACAATGTGGAAAAATGCCCTGGTATTTTCTGTCCTCAAAAAAGCAGGACAATTTCAATATAACCAATTACTGACCCATCAATCATTCCTCAATAACCAGTGGTGCGATGGAAGCTACATGTAACCTTCACTTATTTAACAATTCCCCACTCATCAACACTTCACTTTGGTTCCTCCGGAACTACTACTCCTTAGATTTCATTACAGTTGAAACATTGACAAAGGAGTGGAAGTGGGAAGGACAACCCTAGACATCAAGACAGGATTTGACTGCATGTGGCATCAGGAATCCTAACATATCTGAAGTCAATAGGAATAAAAGGAAAACACTCCACTGGCCAAAGCCACACATAGCACAAAGGAAGACAGTTGTGGTACACTGTACACAAAACACAGGACCAATTAATAAATATTAACCAACTTTCAATCATCAGCTAATTGATAAAAGATGTCATCAGCTATGCCATCAAATCACATTTACTCAAGAATAACAATTGCTGGAGTCAAAATTCATCAGAACTGGGAAATGTTAGCAATGGTTTTCATTAAGGGGTAGGCAGTCTAAAGACAAAAGGAAGCCCTGTGATAGTGTGAAAGATTGAAAGACAGAAGAGTTTGTTTCCCAGGACAATGAGAATTATGACTCTCACCCCAAATGGAAAACTTCATAAACTTTGCTAACAATTTCTACTCTTCTCTGTTTCACATAGTCCATCTCCAACTCTTGTCATTTTTGATGTCTCTGTCCCACATCTGGTGACAGACAATCTAGCAATTTTTATTAAATGCCCATTGACTGCCACAGTGACCTAGATTACACTTCCTAGCATTACAACCTGTAAGGATTCTATTCCATTCTCCCAGTTCCTCCAGCTCTATGAAATCTGTTTTAATGAGGCAAAATCCAGTGTTTCTGAGATAACTTCTTCCTCAATCAAGAAATAACCACCCCGCCCCCAACCAACTCCCACTGTGATTAACAGGGCTTTTGTACACGTCTGCCTCTTTTCCTGCACTTTTGCTCTCACACCTTCCTCTCCTTCCACAGTAGAAATCCCCTCATTCTCACCTTCAGCCTATCTGCCTCTGTATTAATTGGATCATTTTCAGCCATTTCCAGTTTGTTGCTACTATAAAATACATCTTCCCATTGCCTTTCAACATCCCAAAATGACCATTCCCTTTAGGATGCCCTGGTCCACTGCTGTGTCATCCCAATACCCCATCCCTACAGCATTTTTCCTCCCTTCTCCTCACGGTCCATGGCCCCAAACACTCGTTCCACATGAAATAATGACATACATGTAATTTCTTTCAATCCAGTCTACTGTATTTGCTTCTCACAGTATGGTCTGCTCCATAGTGGGGAGACCAAACACGGACTGAGTGATCACTTTGCAAAACATCTGTGAAAACTCTGCAAACATGATTCTGAGTTTCCAGCGGCCAGTCATTTTAATTCTTCATGATGCTGATATCCCTGTCCTTAGCCTGCTGCACTGTTCCAGTGAAGCTCAATTTAAGTTTGAGGAACAGCATTTCAATCTATGATGAAAGAGTTTACAACCATCAGGACTTTGGTGAGGTGCTGGTATTGTTGTAACATTACCAGAACATTAATCCAGAAACGCAGGCTAATGTTCTGGGGACTTGGGTTCAAATTCCACTGTGGCAGATGGTAGGATTTGAATTCAATAATTATCTGGAATTAAAAACTAGCTATTGGCAACCGTGCAACCATTGTTGAAATCCCATCTGGTTCACTAATGACCTTTATAGAAGGAAATCTGCCATTCTTATCTATTTTGGCTTACATGCGAGTCCCAACACATAGAAATGTGGTTGATTCTTAACTGCCCTCTGGGCAGTTAGGAATGGACAAGAAATGCAGCCCACATTCCATGAATGAATAAAATTTTATTTGAATGCAAATATTTTTACAAATCCCTCAAAATTGAGGTTCAAGAATTTCAGACCATGGTCTTGGTGCCCATTTGTTTGCTTTTGTTTTTGCATTCTTCAGTTCATCTCACATTTTGCTTGTATTCAACAGCAAATCTTCTGCAGAAACGTCTTTTCTTGACCCATCACCGTTCCACTTGGAAAGAAATTAAAACACCTAATGAGCAGAGAAATGTTTTACAGAAAAGTCTGAGAGGAGCAATAAACAGTACCATTCAAAGCCTTTTGGAAATTTTTTTTAATAAGAACAGTATTTTAATGTAAATCCAGTCTCTTAATTCATGTACAAAAACAGTATAAACTCAAGTAAGACATTCCATAGAAAGACTCTGATGAAAGGAATAATAAGATTTATACAATACTGTACAGAGTAGTTCTCAATTTTACTGAGGTAATAATATGGGAGCTGTACCATCTGAATAAATAAAGTTCTGTTCAATAATCTGTTGATCAGTAGTTCACAGTTTTGGTATCTAACCTAAAATGCTTCACAAAGTCACAGGCCTCCAGTGTACGTCCTCCAGTCCCAGGCCAGCTGTAGTGTCCACATCTATTGAGTGAAGGCTCATCAACTCTTCCACCATCAAACCAGGAGGATTTGTAGTAAATTTAGTTAAACTGTGGGTACAAATGGACCACAGTTATGAGCCATCACAAACTTGGAAAGGAGGAGGCCCCTCTCTGGTTGTAGAGTGATTTCACTGGACACAGTGAAGGTGGCAAACAATTCGACTGATACATGAAGAGACCTATAAAGCAGGAAGGGAATAATATTAATTGCTGTGAGCATTTCTGAGTTAGGGAGAGTAAATTTATGACCCTGGCATTCATTAGCCCCTGCTAAAATGCCTGTGCATGTAGATACTGAGTGAAGTGCCTCATGATATTGAGGACATCTAACTAAATATCTTCCTAACCAATCCTGGCTGAAGGAGAACAGTCTCAGTGATTTGTCACATCGTTAACATTCCTCACTGCTAACAATCCATAAAAGTCACCTCTGCAATGATAGCCTTCCTAATTTCTAGCCCCCAGAATCAGATGGCAAAATAAAGCTGAGACCTAACCATTAAATTATAAGGGTTTAGCACAAAAAACTTCCTTGTTTTTTTGTACTCTATGCTTTGATGTATAATGCCATGGGTTCCGTATGCATATGTTTTTGAAAAACTGGTATGAGTAACAAACCAGATGTGGTTATTTCGTAGCAAGGGAAGAATTCTGGCAAGAATTAACATAAAATGAGTGATTACACCATCAGGCCTGAAATGAAGGCAGCAAATCACTACAAAAAGTTAATTTTGAAAGAATCAAGGATCATGTTCATTTAAAAAAAAAGTTTGTGGTAGAACAACACTGGTGGAGACAGATGTACTGAAACCACAAAATGAACTTTAGTGGGAAATGCCAAAGATACAGGGAAGGTTGAACATTCATGAAGGTATGAATTTTATTTCAGTCCAAACAGTCCAGTGAAGAACAAAATAAAGATTAAATGATTAAGGTCCTAGCTTGTATGTGGGTGAAAATATTAAAAGGAATGGAAAAGAAAACTGGAGACGTGCTAATTATAATCTTCCAAAATGCCAAGTGTTTTGGGATGATACCAGACAATTCAGTGAGCAGGTTTTGCGGCACAATGGGTAGGCTCCGTCCCTCAGGGACAGAAACTCAGGATTCGAGTCCCATCACAGGACTTGATGGCCATGGAATTCAAATTTCAAATGTGGCCAAACAGCTTCAGTGTTGACCTTAAAATTCAGCAAACACACACCAAAGGCAGATGGTGACAGCAGGAGAGATTTGTGGTCAATCATGAAGTGAAAAGAAATTTGGAGCCTCTACTATCGCCACCCAAATGTCCAGACTACAACATGCAGTGAAAGTGCAATGTTGCCATAGTAATTCAGACCTGTAACACACCACTACCACGAGACAATTTGTACAAGACTATAAAAGTTGATTATCAATGTATCACATAATTCAAAATTATGACATGTAGCACAAGGAATATAGCTGTGGGGATAGAGAAGTAGCCATGAGACAGAAATTAAAAAGTTGAGCATGTTTGTTTCTTTGCATCGGCAGGATTTAGGTTGGGATGTATTCCAAGTATCCATTTTTATAATTTGGCTGAGTAGTCTCAAATAGACTAACTGGCCTATTTTATTCTGAATTCATGGCCAATATAAAACATTTGAACATGCATGTTTCTGGACAATTTCTGGGAAAACGTTAGGACAGCAATATTATCCAGCAGTTGCCTACCTCTGGTAACATTATTAGCTACAACGCCTCATCACAGTTAGCACATGGAAGACCATAAAATATATTTATATAAGTAAAAGACAGTACGTATGTTGAACTGGACAAACAACATTCCTTTGATGTTCGGACATGAGACTGTTTCACTGTTAGCCTTAGTAAACTATCTTAGAAGCTGAAAGAAGCTTATTCAACAAGAAACGATAGGAAGTTTCACTCAAGTTCAGTGAAAGATGCAGAAGTATTGATACCACTTCATTCAGCAAAACTTCAGAAGAAACCGAACAGCTGACTGAGGAGCCAGGAACAAAAGGAATCATGGATAATCTGCTGAAGACATAACTTCAATGTCGCACCAGCCATTGTAAAGACAGATTGAATCAAATTAAAGTAAAAGAGAATTTGATTTCTGCTCAATAATTTCTGGAGTGAAAAAGGGTCTTAAGCCTCTTTTCCACAATATCACAGACTTAAATGAAGGGCATGCAGTTTTGATTACAAATAAAAAAGTAACAGTCTTTGGAGTTTATGTAGAATCTTTCACATCCGGAGGACGTTCTAAAACTTCACGAGAAAAGGAAGCTACTTATACTTTACATTGGCATACCAACTACAGTAGATTAGCTGCCAAATTTCCCCAAAATGTTGGCAGATCCAACTTTAGTGTAATGGAAGCTGAAAATATCACTGACAGTTGTGGTCAAGTTCCATATTCTACCTTCATTAATGTAACATCTGTTGCACCAATTCTCTGTCCCCGCGATTCCAGTTTTTTGTAAAATAACTCCTATCATGGAGGACCAATTTTTCAACTGCCTGCCTGCTCCCCTGATGTAGTGCCAACTTTAAACCTCTGCACTTTCCTCTCCTCCTTTCTCACCTTTCTTAAAACTCACCACTTTGCCCAGGCTTTTTGTTGTCCCTCCTAATTTCCCTTTGCACAGCATCCATTTGCCCCCCACACAAGCCCCTCTTACACCTGGCGATATTTATTCCAGGTTAAATGTGTGACATAAATGCAAGTATCTGTTGTTAGCCAACATCTGAACCAGTTGGACAAATTTGCAGTGCTTTGCATAAGGAGAAAGCAATATACCATGAAGTTTCAAATTTCTTCCCTTTAATTGGCATGAACCCAATCATAGGCATCAAGTACCTAATGTCAGAAATGCAGGCAGGTTGGGACCTGCCCAGTTTGATTGCAGTTTGTGAGCATTTCCTTTGACGTGTACTTGAGGAATGGAGCCGGGAGGGGATAGGAGGAACAGCCACCTACATCCTCTACTGCTTTCAAATCTACCATGTTGAACTGAGACATATTTTGATATATTAAGATGAAACCAGCTGCAGATTTGGTGCAGTGGGTGGAACCAGGATATTATCATAATTTCTAACCTGAGATACTGGAGGTGCGATAAATATTTCAATCGACAGGAGCACAGCATTTGAAAAATAGTATTGGAGGAACAACTCCTAGTTGCCATTCATTTCTCGAGCTAAGCCAACAGTTCAAATTTTACACCCAATTGTACATCAACTATCATAGTCCATAGAGCAGTTTCTCAGTGATAGCTCTGTATTCGGATTCACTGAACTTAGGACCAGTGGAAGCAAGACAAGTATAACTTTGTATATATTAAAATGCTTAATGCAAACCGTAATTTAAGAAAAAAAACCCTGCACTGATCGTCGGCATCATGAAAAATTTTCCAAAAATTTGGAATCCAAAATTTGACATTTTTCCAGGGGCTCGTGAAATGTGTGAATTTTCCTAACTGTTTTAGCTATCTGTCAGCAACAAATACTCGCATTTATATAGCAGCCTGAACATGGAGAAATGTCTGGAGATGCATCAGAGGCTTATGGGAAAATGATGGATGGTGAACCAAAGAAGAATATTAGGAAAGATGACCAAAACAAAACATACATTATTACTGCCAGAGAATCAACATAGCTTTGTGAAGCTTATGTCACGCCAAAATAAATTAACACAGTTCATTAGTACACAAGTGGTTGGTTCCTATAATGGGCCACCAGTACTGACATTTTACCATCAATTAGTACAGATCATCAGACAATATAGTGGCATTAGCACAGCCGCTGAGCCATCATAATTAATCAAAGCTATACAACACGGTAAAATGGGACACTTGGTTTAGATTCTTAACATTACACGGTGAATGTGGGCTGTTGGTATCAACTGCTACATTACACAGTGAATCTGGATTGCTGTTGTACAGTGCCACACAATACCGCGCATCAGAAATCAAAATCGAACTGAGATACAGTGGGATAGAACCCAAATTGGATGTGGATTTAAAAAAAAAATCCAAAGATGTGTTGAAGTTGAGATTGAGTGGATACTTGCTACTTGCATCTGTCTTTGTTACTCTCAATCTGTTCTGGTTGCATGATAGATTATGGCACAAAAGAAGATGGACAATAATCTTATACTGTGTTCATTTTCTTCTGTTACCTGCAGGACACTGGCAGCCTGGCACACAGGAGTCAGTTGAGCACTCTGTCTCTGGTTGTAGGTAGGTCGAACACGTTTGAGGGCAGCTGCACTCAGTATAACTTGAGCCACCGTTGCAAGTTACACCTGAGAAAGAGAACAAATGATTGAAATCATTATTTATCCTGGCATTTTGAGCAGAAGGTTCCTTGGGTAAAATCTATTTTGGATACAAACATAGTGAGACTCTTGGCAACAGATTTTACCAGAATCACATAATTGTAGAACATGATTTCTGAAACTGGTGCTCCATTGGTTCATCTAGGTAAATGCATTGCCCACGGTGGTCCTGATCTATACTCTCCTAAAGGTCCTAAATTTTTCTTTATTTAGCTAATTAAAGAAACATTTAGACAGGTACATGGATGGGATTGGTGAGGTTGGAGACTTGCTCACTGAGCCAATGTGTTTGGTTGCAGACGTTTTGTCACCCTGCTCGGTAACATCGGCAGTGCGCCTCCGGTGAAGCGTCGGTGTTCTGTCCCACTTGTTATTTATTGTTGTCCCACAGATACACGAATACCAACTAGGCACCAAGAGACACGACCAATTCTCACTGGTCTCAATACACATGGACAAAGAAGGACATAAATTCGATTGGGACAACACATCCATAATAGTAAAGGCAAACAGAGGCATGCCAGGGAATACCTGGAGGCCCGGCATTCCAACTGGAATGCCATCAACAAACACATTGAACTGGATCCAATATACAAACCACTGAAAAATAGAACCGGAAGTGATGCCAACCACCCAGCAAACTGAGGCATATAAATAACAAGTGGGACAGAACACCGACGCTTTACCGGAGGCGCACTGACCATATTACCTAGCAGGGTTGACAAAACGTCTGTAACCAAACCCACCGGCTCGGCGAGCAAGTCTGCAACCGCATCCACAACCCGAGCTACAAACCTTCGCAAAAACCTTGAAGGGATAGGTATGGAGGGATATGGATCGAATACAGGCAAACGGGACTAGTTTAAATTGTGACAAAGGGCAAGTTGGGCCACAGGGCCTGTTTTCATTGTGTAAACCCTATGACTCTATGATTGCATCCAATTTCTGCGTTGCGGTTAGTCCGAATGTGTTAAGAAGTGGAAAGTAAAAAATAAAGCATCCCTAATCATGAACATTAGTCAGAAGCCTCACTGCAAAACGTGGGAATAAAAGGACAGTAGCATTATGGATACACAACTGGCTAAATAATTGGCATCCAAAAGCAATTGTCAATGGATATTTTTTGGCATGGTGTAGGTTTGTAATGGAATTCCCAAAGGGTCAGTCTTGGGACCCTTGCTTTTCTTGATATATGTTAGTGATCTAGATCATCGTGTGCAGGGGACAGTTTAAAAGTTTGCGAATGATACAAAGTTTAGAAGCCTTGTAAGCCGTGACAAGCGTAGAACTTCAAAAGGACATAAAGAAGATGATGGAATGGGCAGATAGGTGGCAGATGAAGTTCAATGCAGCGAAGCGTGTGGTCATACATTTTTTTGGGAAGAGGATGGACAGAAAATATAAATTAAGGGCTACAATCCTAAAGGAACAGACACCTAGATGCATTGTGCGCAGATGATTGAAAGTGGCAGGACAGAGGACAGGCGGAAAGAACGGTTAATATAGCATATGCTGGGCTTTGTTAATAGGGACCTAGAGTTGAAAAGCAAAGAGGTGATGTTAAACTTGTACAAGACACTGACTATGTCTCAAGTGAAGTATCATGTATGGGTCTGGGCACTATATTATTGGAAAGATGTGACTACATTGGAGAGTGTAGAGAAGATTTAGAAGAATTGTTGCACGAAGGAGAAACACGAGGATAGCCTATATGTGGATAGATTGGAGAAGTTGGAACTGTTCTCCTCAGAAATAAGAAAGCCAAGAGGAAATCTGGTGGAAGTTTTCAAAATCAAGAGGAGGCTAGATAAAGTGGACAGGGAGAAACTATTTCTGCTCATAAAACTATTAAGAGTGAAAGGGCCCAGATATAAAGTAAATTGCAAAGGAAGCAAACCTGGTGTGAGACTGGCTCATGTCTAGAAGACACTGCCTGGAAATGAGGTGGAGGCAGACTCAATTTAGAGGCTTTGGATGATTATTTAATTAGAAACAATGTGCAAGGATCTGGGTAACATGCAGTGGAATGCTACTAAATCATAATGTTCATTTGGAAGCCAATGCAATCACAATGGCCAAATGGCCTTCTTCTGCAGCATAATGCTTCTGTGATTCTGTGACATGCACTGGAGTAAAACCAGATCAGGAATAGATCATTCAGCCCATCGAGTCCACTGCGACATTCGATCAGAGCTGATATGTTTCTTAACTCCATTCTCCTGCCTTCTCCCCCTAACCCTTGATCCCCTTACTAATCAAGAACTTATTTCTATGTCTCTGTCTTAAATACACTCAATGACTTGTCCTCCACAGCCTTCTGTGGTAATGAGTTCCACAGATTTACCACCCATTGGCTAAAGCAATTTCTCCTCTTCTCAGTTGTAAAGGTCAAAAATCACACGACACCAGGTTATGGTCCAACAGGTTTATTGGAAGACACAAGCTTTCGGACTCTCGCTCCTTCTTCAGGTGTCGGTGAGAGAGTTGGCATCGGACACAGGATTTCTCAGCAAAAGATCAAAGGGTCATAGAACTGATGCGAATGTGTTGAACAAACCTAAGATGGCTGTTAGATCTTTAATCAGTTAGAAAGGATTAATATGCAAATTCCCAAATCTCTTTCAAATCACTGCCCTGAGATAACTAAAGGTTTTATCAGTCCCCTCAGTATACCAGAGGTGATATCCCAGGTTAGACAATGCATTTTAGGTGTAACGCCTTGTTTAGAATCTGGTTGTGTCTCAACTTGGATTCAGACTGGTTTGATTTCCAAAGTAGGAATTTATAAAATGCCACATTGACTGTCTACAAATTGTGTGCTTTTTGAACAAAGCAAAATGTATCTGCAATTACAAATCTGCAAATGCAAATTCACCCCATGGATTTATATTTGTGTACAAGACCTACTCATACACAGGAGCTGTTCAGATGAGGAGGAACATGACAGATACCTAAAGGTGCTGAAAGACACACTCATAGGAACAGGATAGGATGCTCAACTCATCGATCGCCAGTTCTGACGTGCCACAGTGTAGAAACATAATGACCTCCCCAGAAGACAGACATCGGATATGACCAACAGGGTACACTTCGTCGTCCAGTGCTTGCTGGGAGCGGAGAAACTGCACCATGTTCTTCACAGCCTTCAATACATTATCAATGACGATGAGCACCATGTCAAGGTCTTCCCCACATCTCCACTTCTCGTGTTCAAACAACTGCCAAACCTTAAACAGACCATCATTCACAGCAAATTACCCAGCCTTCAGGAGAACAGCAACCACACACCACACAACCCTGCCACTGCAACCTCTGCAAGACATGTAAGATCATCGACACGGACACTACCATCACATGTGGGAATACCACCCACTAGGTACACAGCAGATACTCATGTGACTCAGCCAATGTTGTCTATCTCATACGCTGCGGGCAAGGATGCCCTGAGACATGGTACATTGGCGAAACCATTCAGACACTACAACAACAGATGAATGGGCACCTGGTAACAATCACCAAACAGGGATGTTCCCTCTCAGAGGGGGAACACTTCAGTGGTCAAGGACATTCAGTCTCGGATCTTTGGGTAAACATCCTCCAAGGTGAACTTCAACATACACAACAATGCAGAGTCACCGAGCAGAGGCTGATAGCCACGTTCGGTACCCATGAGGATAGCCTCAACCAGGATCTTGGGTACATGTCACACTGAAGGTGACCATACCACATTATATTCTCTCTCTCTCTTTCTTTCTCTCTCTCCCTCTCTCTCTCACACACACACGCGCGCACACACACACGCGCACACACACACACACACAAAGACACATCACACTCTCTCTCCCTCACACACACATACACACACTCTCTCTCTCCCTCATGCACATGCACACACACACACACGCGCACACGCATGTAAATCTATGGAGTGAATTTGCATTTGCAGATTTGTAATTGCAGATACATTCTATTTTGTTCAAAAAGCGCACTCTTTGTAGACAGCCAATGTGGCGTTTTATAAATTCTTACTTCAGAAATAAAACAAGTCTGATTCCAAGCTGATACACAACCAGGTTCTAAACAAGACTTCACACCTAAAATGCATTGTCTAACCTGGGATGTCATCTCTAGTATGCCGAGGGAACTGATAAAGACTTTAGTTATCTCAGGGCAATGACTTGAAAGAAATTTGGGAATTTGCATATTAATCGTTTATAACCGATTAAAGATTTAACAGCCATCTTAAATTTGTTCAGCACTGCATCAGTTCCATAACCCTTTGATCTTTTGCATATAAATTCTGTGTCTGAGGCCACCTCTCTCACTGACACCTGAAGGAGTGAGGCTCCGAAAGCTTGTGTTTTCAAATAAACCTGTTGGACTATAACCTGGTGCCATATGATTTTTGACCTTGTCCACCCCAGTCCAACACCGGCACCTCCACATCAGTTCTATAGGGTTGTCTCTTCGCCATGAGGCTGTGTTCTCAGGTCCTAGTCTCTCCTCTTACTGGGGACATCATCTCCATGTCCACTCTGTCCAGGCCTCTGAGTATTCTTTATGTCTCAATGATATTCCCCCCTCATCCTTCTGATCTCCACGTAGTGCAAACCCAAAGTCCTCAACCACTATTTATCTGACAAACCTTCACCCCCAAGATCATTCTTATGAACTTCCTCTGGACTCCGTCCATACCAGCACATCCTTCCTTAGATACAGGGCCCAAAACTACTCACAGTGTTCCAAATGCGGTCTGTCCACAGCCTTATGCAGTCTCAGCGATGCATCTGTGCTCTTGTATCCTCGTCCCCTTGAAATGAATGCAAACATTGCATTTTCCTTCCTATTTGCAAACTGCATCTGTATGCTAACCTTAAGAGAATCCTGAACTAGGACTCCCAAGCCCCTTTGTGCTCTGAAGCCTTTCCCTGAGCCGGGCTATGCTGCTGGCAGCTCCTGGACGATGATCCAGTCAATGCTCACTATCTGCAAAGAGTAGTCACTGCAGCAATAAAATCTCAGCAAGTTTCAATGGCTGCAGGGACTCCTTTTAGACCTATTCCACCATTCATTATAATCATGACTGGTCAGCATCTTAACTCGAACTATTTGTTTCAGGGAAAAGATGAAAGGTGAAATGGGTGCTGTGAGAGAGGAGGAGCACAGACCCACAGTGAGGAGCTGATGATGGGTGGCTTTTAAGAGCTGCTGCCTGGCCCATCAACTTCGTTATCTGGTATTGGCAGGCCTCTTCTAATTTACAGCAGAGATATTACGCTGGCCCAGAGATTAAATCCTGGAACCCCTGATACAATGATCCCACACGAGCCGCTGGAAGGGAGTCACTGAGTGCAACTCATGAGGGACAATCAGAGGGATTGTGATAGCAGCCAGCAGACACACACCTGCTGCAGGGGTATAATCTGGCCCCAGTTTCCCTCACAGACCTACAAACCAGCCTTAGAAAGACACCACCTATTACTTGACACTGATCATCCACCTATTAGACAGGACGAGTGACAGAAACAGAGTTAAACAAAAAAAAAATACAGTTGGAAAACTATTGGATCATAACGCAGACACAGTTCAATCCCAAACTGGTCTGTAAATCGAGCTGACCATTGGTTGTCATGCCTTCAGCTATCAAAGGCCCTATATTCTGGAATTCTCATCCCAACCTTTCATTCCATCTTCTAAGTCACTCCTTAAAACCTATCTGATTGATCACCTGAACTAATATCTCATGTGGCACAGAACCAAATTTTATTTCTTAATGCTTCCTGAGAAGCACCTTGGATATTTCATTACATCAAAGGCACTACTCAAATGCAGGTTGTTGTTATTGATGTGGAATTAATTTGTTGCTCCATAAACTTGAGCTCAAACCAACCAATTGCAGGCCAGTTCACTGTGCCACCAAAACAAACACTCACCGCACAGTGTTTCATTTCTCCAGTTTAAAATGATTCCATTTCTCAGGGCGCGGAAAGCATACGCAGACAGTAAACTGCATAGGCACCACGTCTGTTCCACACAACTGCACAGGTCAGTCAGGCAGGCCTGGTAATAGGGTTGAGGATCGACACTCTCATGTGCTGCCTGAAATAAGGGACCCTGAGAGGAGCAGGACAGAATAGACAATCACTACTGGAATTCTTCAAACAGTGTAAATAATACAAGAAATACATTATCAAAGGTTAAGGGTGGGTCAAGTAGTAGTCATGACATTTAAATTTCAATTCTGGCTATTATTTTTTGGAATCAAATTCACGGATTAGAACTCTCACCTCTGACATTACAGTCCAACGCACGTCAGGTACAACACAAGAGATGAAGTTCCCTCTATATTGTCTGGCCAAGCAAGGCAGGAACGTTATGGGATATATGTTAACCCAGCGCAGGTCCCACACAGACAATTGTGAATCATACATGTGGAGCCAAATCTCAGACTCTGGGCATTCTGACTCCTGGGCCCTCAGCTGAAAGCAACCAGATCATTTTCCGTCTAGAATGGGCAGGAAGAGAGCAGCTTTCATCAGGTGATGATCAGACAGCCCCAGCAACATCCAGCTCAAAGGCAGGGCTGGGTTTTGGTGCATCTCGTGGACTGGTGGAAAATCCAGGCCTGGCAAGCTTTCCTGTTTCTGCTGCTGCCCACAAAGTGGCACTGTTTCAGTCACATGGAATGATCTCTCCCACTTTCCACCAATCACAGACCTGCTTTCAGCCTGAGGGGCAGGATACAACAGAATTGCTGTCAAGCCCCTGGTTGGAACATCATAGGGATCCGATTGACCTCACTGGACCTTTGATTTACATAAATTTCAGAGGATCCCATCTGTTTTGGGCAGGCTTTTCATCTATTTGCTGTTTAATATTTGAAGCAACAGGAAAAGGCAGGAGCAGCTAGGTGACCTATCCCCTTTTAGTCTGCTCGTTTCTGACAGATTGGGGGTAAAATCAAATCCTCGCTTTACGCTGTAGAGTAGATCTCTCTTCGCACTGCCCACACAGTGGTCAATGGTTTGATTTTTTTTGTGACTGATTATGTTAGTCCAGTAAGATCTCTGTTAACTGTGCATGCTTAATTAAGCCTACATGATGACGAAGAGGAAATTAAATAGACAAATCCCAGATAAAGACCACGAAGAAAACTGGAATAAGCATAAGTTCAGGCATTTAGTGATATTTTAAAAGGCTCATTAATCAACCCTGTTTTGCCCTTAGAAAGTCATGCCATGTCTGCATTACCTGAAGGTACATAAAATGTACAACAAAGTGCTGAGACACCCCATAATGGTTTGACCCAGTTAAGTCGAGGCACAGAGGAGTAAAGGTATTGGGAGGAACGGGAGCAGTTTTGATCATCCTGATGATAGAAAGGTGGGATTTAGAAACAACAGAACAAAAAAGACTTGTAGCAATATTTTATCGGACACCACTCTGTGGTGATTAATAGAGGATCAGGCAGCGTACATAAGGAATGGTTATGTGATTGAGCATCGCAAAGTGAGACACAGTTGGCAGGAGTCAAAGGTCAGAAAATCAGAGCCCAGCAGCTTGCCAATTCCCATCTATTCATTTGAATGATGTCCAATGTCCAATTAAAACAATTACGACCTACAACTTTCATATAGATTGGGAGAGAATTTGTTGCACAAATTTGAGAAAAAAAAACAGAGAATACATTGAGTGAACACATTCAAGAACATTTTTCCAAGCTTGGTATCATATAGTCAATGAGGACAAAGGGAGAGTGAAGAAATCTTACCAACAGGATAAAAGATGTACCATGAAGAAAGTGATAAAGTTGGGAAAGGGTGAATTAGAAACAGATTCAGGTGTAAGTGAACATTTTGCTTTAGTCTTCATAGAAGCTTTTCAGAAAAGGAGGACACAATGCAGCAGGTTAGGTTAGAAATTTTGAAACAGAAACATTGTACATAATCAGCTCACGGTATTGAAGCCAAAGAACTACCCAAACCGAGATGATTTTTACCGAGGTTGGCAAGATTTGGGTGTTGGCATGATTGCCACCACTGGTTGGACTGGATTTTGGGAGATTTCAGCACATGACCACTTCCACCCAAGTGCCACTGGAGTATTTTGTGTCTATGGTCACCCAGTATGTCAATTATTCAATATTGGCAGTTACATTAACTCACAACCCTATAGACTCTGAAAAGACGCACTATCCATCACCCTGTTTCACTGGAGCTGTCAGCTATGGTTGGGAGGTTTTACCATATAACTTTCCAGCTTTGACTGCCCCAATCCCATGTCTCTGCAGTTAGTTCTTCCTTGGCCACAGTCTCCCCACAACAGCTGGGAAATATGCAGAGTTAGCATTGCCCAATTGACAGTCAAGGATTGTCCAATCAAACAGCATTTTGGCCCCCAGTTCCAAGATTATTCCTTGCTGTCACTTAAACCTTTCCCCTGGGTTGTTTGGAACAGTATGTAAGAAACTAACATGGAATTTTAGAAACTTTGGGATAATCCAAAAGCATTGATTAGTTTAGCCGTCAGTAAGGAATATACCAATAAGAGAAAAAATGGGTAAGGACTCCTTTCCATTTTGGGCAAGCAAGCAGCCTGGTGTTAAATCACAAAAACAAATAATTCCTTAAAGGTTACCATGATAATGCCGCAAGTCATGTTGGCTGCACGGTTATCAGCTAGTGTTGTTCCATTGCACGGGTCCTCAATATCTTCAGCCCTGCACAGCCTCTCTTTGTTCACCCTGATGGGCTGAATGTTTCCAAACCCAACAGGGGCCAAAGCCTCTTCTCCACTTGGTAACCTATCCCACAGAAGCAATCCATTGTTATTGTCTCAGTGCAATTTCACTAGGTGAATGTGAAAACTAGTACCGTAAGTCAGAGATGAAAATTCAACCAATATGTCCAGCAAAGGGAGTTTTAGCACCATCACTAAAGGCGAATAATGTAAGTAAATAATTATTCATTTTACAAGCAGCTATACAAAGTTAGGTATAATGTAAAGGAAAGGCAAAATTAAAGCTCCCTCTAAAGTTACCCTGTCAGCACTGCTGCATTAGATGCCAATATGTGATTAGGTTCTTTACCTTGGATTGCAAATTCTTCAGTTTCCCAAGACACAGTGAAGACCTATTTAGATGATGACTAGTGGAAACTACTATGGTTAGGGACTCCCCACACCTGGCGATCTCATACCTCAAAGTGCTGGGGTACATCAATGCAGGCTGAAACAGCGTGAGAGTGGAGTCATGATGCCTCCAATGTGCCTGAATGTGACCCTATTGGAACTCTGCATTGTACATTGGCCCCATGCTTGAAATAAAATCCATGAGAGTTTAGTCAGAATTTAGGCAAGTTGGACAATCACGTGAGCAGGTACTTGAATTTCTGCCCAGAATAGACAAGACAAGTCCTGGAGATGTGTCAGACTGTACCAAGTCATTGAAACACCATACCACTGACTCGATTAACTTCAGTAGGATTAGCACTGGGCAAACACTGTTTGGCACAGTTCCATCAGGATTGTGGCTTGAGTAATTTCTGTGCCTTTGTAATAATCTGTTCTGCATCTGATGCCACAACGCTTATTGACACACATAGAGAAAGCTTTAATGTACATATCAAATGTCTAAGCTGCAAATGCTTGATGCGAAAACTAGAGGTAAGCAAAGGAAAGCATTTTATCTAAGGACTGAAATTCCACAAGCTTGATGAATGCAAAGCTCAAGCAGAATTTGAAGATTATAAAACAACCAGACAGCCAATTCCTCAACCTGAGCTCGCAATGGGCAAGGCACTGTTCAGGACAGCAAATGTCAGTGCGAGGTAGACAAGACTGGAGCTCTGATCTCTGACCATATTTCCTGAGAGCACAACTCTCTACTGGGGAAAATATAGTTTCACAGAACGAGCCATTATGCCACAGTTACGTTATCAAATATAAACTGATGCCGAGTGAAATGAAAATGTGAGCTGCTCTGGGATTGTCAACCTTATCAAGTAGGATGTGCTTTCCACAAGTTGCAGGAGTTGATGACTCATCCAAGGGGAACAATTGTAATCAAACTTGACCATCAGGAAACTGACAAGATTGGACAACATGCCAGTTCATAAATTCAGTCCAATCTTATTCTGCATCATGTCAAAGGAGAACAACAGTGTACAAGCTGTAAAACCAGCATTAGGATTCTATCCTGGTGAGTTTGGCTTCAATTATCCCTCACACCCCCAGATGTGCAGATAGACTCAGCTTTACTGTTCTGTGGTGTACAAATGTACTTCAACACTTACGCAAAATCATCTGATGAGTTTCCATTCAAATTGCCACACAGTCCACATATTCTCAATTGTAACGATTCAGGGACATTGATTTCTACAAAACCTTTTCCGTACCAGGTGATGCTAAGACCTTCCAGCAAGTTCAGAATCACGTAGATTCCTGTTGAAAAGAAGCATCAGAAACTATTTACCTAGAATAACATGGCTGGATTTTGTTGTACCTTTGCATAACCTCTCACAGTGGAACACCAGACTAATATTAACTATTGGTAAATATGTCAATGCTGTGGAAATTAGTAGGTCACATTCATATTCCTCCTGTTAAATTTATGAAAATCTTGGATGATCGAATAAGAATATAAAAACATAAGAAATAGGGGAAGAGTGGACCATATGGCTTCTCAAGTCTGCTCCATCATTTAGTATGACCACAGCTGATTATATGCCACAACTCCACTTTCCTGCCCATTCTGCATATCATTTGCCAATCCAAGTACATTGCATCCACTGGCTCCCCTTTATTTCCAGTTGTGTCCTCACAATATGCTAATAAAAATGTCAAGCATAATTTCCCTTTCTCAAAGCTATGTTAACCATGCCTGACCAAATAAGGATTCTTGAAGCGTATCCCAGTAACAACAGACACCAGCACTTTCTTGACATCTGATGTCAAATGAAGCTCTGACTTTGTTCATCCTGTCCCTCTTGTTGGAAAGCACCTTGACTATACCCAAACCATCTCCTCTTTAAAGGATTAAAATTGTTAAAATACTTCCATTCGAGTTTTACCTGCCAACCTTTGATTCCTATTGCTCTACCAGATCTGTTCTCACTCTGCTGAAGTCAGAAGTCACACGGCACCAGGATATAGTCCAACAGGTTTATTTGCCCACTTCACCTAATGAAGGAGCAGCACTCCAGAAGCTTGTGATTTCAAATAAACCTGTTGGACTATAACCTGATGTCATGTGACTTCTGACCTTGTCCACCCCATTTCAACACTGGCATCTCCACATTATCACTCCGTTGAAGTCAGCCCTCCCCCACAATTTGTTAGTTTTTAGGCTGGATTACATGTCCTTTTTTAAATAGCTAACCTAAACTTTATGGGAGTATAATCACTGATCCCTAAAATGGTCCATTTTGTACACATGATCCAACTCTTGCCCCCAAAACCAGTACACCAATTCCTGGACCCTACAGCCCTCCGCACTCAATATCGAGTTCAATAATTTTAGGGCCTGAGCTTTCCCATGTCCCAGCCCCCTACCCCACACACCAGGCCTTGGTGCCACATAGCCTGCCATTACACTCCCCCTGTTGTTAGTCACTAATAGTCCCCATTAACAACTATTCACCCTCCCAGCCTGATCGTTATCAACTCTGGTCTATCCAACTGCTCTTCTCTCTCTTTAGGCTGTATCCTATCGTTTACTCTCTACCCCACCCACCTCATTTTTCTCTGCATATAAACTGACTTTTTCCCAGCCACCATCAGTTCTGTGGAAGGGTCACCGGACCCGAAACGTTAACTCTGTTTTCTCCTTCACAGATGCTGCCAGACCTGCTGAGCTTTTCCAGCAACTTTGTTTTTGTTCTTGACACCAATTCCTCCTTCCTCATTGATTAATGTACTGATCAAGAAAATCCTTTCAAAAAATATTTGGAACCTCTTTCCCCTCTCTATGCTTTACACTATTACCATCATCTTATTCAAATAATTGAAGTCCCTGACTACCAATACTCAATGGTTCTTGCATCTCCAACTTACCTATAAATTTGTTACTCTATATGCTTCTCATTAGTTTTAAGTGCATTGATTTTATTAAATGGTTTAATGATGCAGGTGCTATCTGTCTCTCGCTGTGCATCATATCCTTGCATCTTTCCCCTCCACTGAACTTCCTGAACTTCTCCCTGTCACCCCAGCCATTTGAAGCCTCTTTCTTCCTGCAACCCCTCCCTCACAGCCTCTCAATTCCCTGTTGGCAGACCCCAAACCTGGAAGGTGGAATTAATTCCCTCATAACTTCTTAGCATCCCCAAAAACAGTACCCACCCCTGGCCTTGGTCATTGCCCCGAGCCTGTGGCTTTATCCCTTCCCCTCAATGTTTCCTTGTCCCTGTGATTTGGAGGTCTCTGCAAATCTGTTGACCCTGTGTGTGTTTTCACCACTGGTGACTATAATTCAAAACTACCTCTAGCTATAAAGAACTATGAGGCATCCTGAGCTCATGAGAAACATCCTGCCTGCAAGTAATCTTGTTAAAAATCTCTGACAAGGTAGTACTGACACACGGAAGGGATTTCTCCTCAGTTTCTTGTCCAATATTTATCCGTCAACAAACATCACAACACAGGTTATCTCATCATTTTCTGTTTGTTGGGTGTCGCTGGGCTCAAACTGGCAGCCACTTTTCCTACATTGAAGCTGTAAAATGCTTTGAGACATTCAGTGGTTGTAAAGGGTACTATATAAATGCAAGTCTTCTGTTGAATGACTGCACAACATCAGAAGCTGAGTTCTAGGATTAAAGGCAGTGCCACATATTGGCTGTGTTAAAGGGTCATGAATGTGGTAATTTGATGACTTTTGTTTGTTTGTTCATGGGATGGGGTCATCACTGGCTAGGCCAGCATTTATCATCCAAAGGGCAGTTAACAGTCAACGACATTGCAGTGTGTGGGTTTTGAGTCGCACATAGGCCAACCTGGATAAGAATGGCATAATTTCCTCTCCTAAAGGGTATTTAATGAACAAGGTGGGTTTTTACAACAATCAACAGTGGTCACATGGTTAGTGGGATTCGAAAGCTTGCCCCCAGAACAATAACCAGATCACCAGGACAGCACAACTTCTCCTGGGTATCATATCAAATCAAAGACTATACCCAAATCAGCGACACGCTGGGGTTACTCATTGAGAGAGAACACATAATTTATAGCTACAGATGGAAAAGCATTCCACTTTCTAACCCAGTTTTGGATAACACTGAAGAGACATGAAGGCAGATATCTCAGAGTTCCTAACTCTGTAACCTTTCCCCACTGGACACATTGCATACCTGAATGTTGAATGGTGATACCTGCTGCATCAGAATAAGGAAGGTCTACTTCTGTGCTGTTAACTCGAATTTGGTTCTTCCCTGAAAGCTTGAAGGTTCTGTTTTCAATCTGTACAATCAGGGCCTTTATCTCAGGCTCAGTGGGACTGTCATTCCATTTACTTTGGAAAACTACCTGAGGAAAACAAATCATTATTAGGAAGCAATCATAACTCGTACTTAATTTAGAACTGATAAAGCCACATGAAATATGCTTGTTAATCATTGTTGGAAGACTCAGAGGCAACAGGAACAGTGTATTTGCGCAGAGATTAAGTTGAGTTTTAGCTGTTATATCTAATTGGAGGAAGTAGATTACAACTGACGGTCCACATGCAGCCAAGCCTCTGAATTGAATGTGGAAGCAACGACTGGGAGTTGAGCTGGGGCCAGGGCCTGAGGGATTAATGTCTGGTGAGGTTGGCCAAGAAGAAAACGGTAGGGATGGGTGAGTGGGAGATGTGGTGTCCATGGTGAGAGGAATTCTAGGATTGGAAATGCTGGAAATAGAACTGTTTTGGGAGTGGCCACCACTAACTGAGGAATAACACTGATGGGAGCAGAGATCTGTGCTGTCATTTGTCCATTGCACACCGTGTAGCTTCAGTTCAAAAATTTCTGGATGGTGAGTGATCTGCTACCAAGTCAATGGAGTAAATCCCTGTTGTTGTCTTTAACATGGAGGGCTTGGGTGTTATTTCCTGACATTGATTACAATTTTCATTGCCTGGTTTATAGGGACTGTGTGTCTGAGGTGGGCAACATGTCCAAAGATGCCTGACAGAGATGATTAATGATGACTTTTCGTCTGCTTCACATTATCAAACTACTGAGTTCTCAGCCATCACCTCTGGCAAAGCACATGGAATACCTTCTGACACTCACAGTAGAAATTCAGCTTGGATAGTAATATAAACGTGTGGCAATCTGAACTATGTCCTGTTCGATGTACAGTCACTGTAATGGGGTACAACAGGCAGCCAAAACCACAGTACCCATTCTGTCTGACAGTCCAAATCACCTTTCCAGTGCTCAAAGATTTGTTTAAGGAGATCCATACACAAATATTTTACTGATGCAGCTCTGACTGTTCTGTGCTCTCGTGGAGATTTTCATATTCTCTTATCTGCAGATGCCGCACAGATCCCACATTGCTGATGTTGGTAAAATAATTCATTTCTGTATGTCTGGTTCACTATCCAGCCCATCCAGTTTGTGAGCTAGGTATTTACAAAGATATCCACTACCTCCCTGTTATTAGTGCCCTATATCTGGTGTTTGCACTGAAACTCTGCACTTTTCACAGCTTTTCTTGTATTAGAAATACCAGCGACTTCCTTCTGTTGAAGACTCTCCACTGTGTCGCTGAAATTGTGGAAATCCTGACCAAGGACAGCGCTATCATCAATGTGAGGCAGGTTGAAAAATGTCTCCTCAGCAAGAGTAGTTTCAGTCTTTCTGGGATGAATTATAGTCAACAGATACCAGCATTAGTTAGGGATGGGCAATAAATGCTGTTCTAGTCAACAACACCCACGTGCCACGAATGAATATAAAAAGAATCCTAAACGGTGCCAGGACACAGCAGGTCGACCGAGGGAGGGGATAGTGTCAGTTCTTGCAAGATTCTAACAGTCCGCCTCAATAGATTAAATTTTGGATGTGCCTGTGATGTCTCTGTGCAACACCTTTATTGAGTTGGAAAGGCAAGCACTCATATTCCCTTAATCTGCTGCTCGGACATTTGTATAATTTAATGTGTATAGAAATCACTCTTTGCATATGGAGCTACACTCCAATAAGAGAGCAGAGATTAGAAACTGAAGTGTCGCATTTGGTCACTTTTGTCTATCATATCATGTGAAGTATAAGCGATGCTACTGATTTGTAGGTGTTCCTGTAGGAGATGTGCTGTCATGGTCCGGCATGGGCCATACTCACACATCCACTGCAGTTTGTCTGCAATTCCTCTGTGATATTCCACATTCAATTATGCCTAGGTTGAGCCTTCTATCTGCTCTTTGTGCAGTGATTGTAATGACGTCAGCTGGGTGGACCTCATAGAATATGAGATCCCTGATTGCGGCTGTTAATCGGGTCCAATCAGGGAGCCCTTGCTGACAGACATACACAGGAGTGTCAGAGGTTCTGTTCACTCAGAGTTGGCTCTGAGGAAGCTGGATCAGTGTCAAGCACTCTCCACATGTAAATAAAGGGTGACTTGGTGATGTGAAGTTATTTTATTTCGTCCTCTAGAAGAGATCTCTTGTACAACACACAACCATTATAGGACAACACCTGGTTTTTCTTTACAGGAATGGAAATTGAAAGGATCCTTTGATGAGTGACCAATTCCATCAGGTTATTATCTGTGTGATAAAGGTAAAGATTGTTCCTATTGTCTCTGAACAATAATTACTGAACACTGAAGGGCACGGGACATTTCAGTGAAAATAAACTTCAAAAACATTATCATGGGTGCCAGCATCAACAATGGCTACAGGATGAATATTGATAAGAAAAGTACCAAGTACATCAGCATAACAAAGGTAATATTAACATGGATAGTATGGACATCCATAATGACCATACCATTACAAATGCTAAAACCCAGAACAATACACTCGCCGAGCCAACAAGGTGTAGAGCTGGATGAACGCAGCAGGCCAAGCAGCATCAGAGGAGTAGGAAAGCTGACGTTTCGGGTCTAGACGGTGGGTTTGGTTGCAGACGTTTTGTCACCCTGCTAGGTAACATCATCAGTGTGCCTCTGGTGAAGCGTTGGTGTTCTGTCCCACTTGTTATTTATATGCCTCGGTTTGCTGGGATGGTTGGCATTACTTCCAGTTCTGTTTTTCAGTGGTTTGTATATCGGGTCCAGCTCAATGTATTGTTGATGGAGTTCCGGTTGGAATACCAGGCTTCCAGGAATTCCCTGGCATGTCTCTGTTTGGCTTGGGCTATAATGGATGTGTTGTCCCAGTCGAATTTGTGTCCTTCTTTATCCGTGTGTATTAAGACCAGTGAGAATTGGTCGTGTCTCTTGGTGGCTAGTTGGTGTTCATGTATCCGTATTGTCAGTTTTCTTCTGGTTTGGCCCATGTAATGTTTCTCACAGTCCTCGCATGGTATTTTGTACATTACGTTAGTTTTATTGGTTGTGGGTATGGGATCCTTTATGTTCATCAGTAGCTGTTGTAGGGTGGTTGTTGGTTTGTGGGTTACCCTGATACCGGGGTCTGAGTAGTCTTGTGGTCATGTCTGATATGTCCCTGATGTATGGTAGGGTGATTAGTGAGTCTGGTCGTGTTGCGTCTCCCTGTTGTGGTCAGTCTCGGAGGTAACAGTGGTGAGGTGCCAGCAACCACCCCAACACCCAAAAACAGAGCTGCATCAGGACAATATTCAAACCGGCCACAACACACTGCAGCAACCTGGAACTGCACAAAGCAGAACAGGAGCACTTATACAGAGTTTGAAAAGGAATGGATACCCAAAAAGCATAATCCGCCATTACCTCCACAACTGATCACAACAAGAAGACACAACACGACCAGACACACTCGTCACCCTACCGTCCATCAGGGACATATCAGAGATGACCACAAGACTACTCAGACCCCTCGGTATCAGGGTAACCCACAAACCAACGACCACCCTGCAACAGCTACTGACAAACATAAAGGATCCCATACCCACAACCAATAAAACCAATGTAATATACAGAATACTGTGCAAGGACTGTGAGAAACATTACATGGGCCAAACCGGGAGAAAACTGGCAATAAGGATATACGAACACCAACTAGCTACCAAGAGACACGACCAATTCTCACTGGTCTTAATCTACAAGAACAAAGAAGGACATAAATTCGACTGGGACAACACATCCATAATAACATAAGCCAAACAGAGACATGCCAGGGAATTCCTGGAGGCCTGGCATTCCAACTGGAACTCCATCAACAAACACATTGAGCTGGACCCGATATACAAACCACTGAGAAACAGAGCCGGACGTAATGCCAACCACCCCAGCAAACCGAGGCATATAAATAACAAGTGGGACAGAACACCGACGCCTCACCAGAGACGCACTGACGATGTTACCTAGCAGGGTGACAAAACGTCTGCAATCAAACACACTGGCTCAGTGAGCAAGTCTACAACATCATCCACAACCCGAGCTACAAATCTTCTCAAAAACTTTAAACAATACGCTGTCAACGGCAAGAACTGTAACATCAGTAATAAGCATGTTGTCAGCAATATCATCAACAAACCATTGTGAACGCTACCAATACCAAGGGCAGACTTTTCCATAACTGAGGAGGAGATGATTGTAGGAGGAGATGAGTTTGGATGATAAAATGTCAGGCTGACTCCCTGGTATATCCCCACTTCTTTGTGCATTTCCTGGAGTTGGGAGTGCATCAGTAAAGGCAATGTGCTCAGCATCCATGGGAGATAGATCTCACAAATATTGATTTAATTTGTGGGCATCTACCAAACAGTCTGCAAGTTTGTGGAAGGTGGATGGTGAAGTAACTCTTCAGAAGCTGGCATCCCATCACCAATCACCCTGAATTTACAAGCACACTGCCTCTCAATGAGTCAGGCATTCAGCATTTCAATATCCCTGACAGAAAACATTTTAGGTCAGCCAGGGCTCCTTGATAGGACCAGATTAACAGCCCTAATCAGGGAACTCATATTCTATGAGGTCCAGCTGGTTGACCTGGTTACAGTAACTACGGACAGGAAGCTCAGTGCTGTGTGTATTTAACCACTCACAGGAGGCAAGGGCAGCACAGGAGAACTTCATGCTGATATAATGGAAGTGAAATTTTAAGTTTGAAAGATCAAACTTGCCATCAAATTTGCAACAGCTGTGCGCAAAGATGTGCCCAACATGTAGGACTGGATGCCAGTTACAATATTAGCCCATCTGCATCTTGTGTTGCCCTCTCCTCCTCTATTCTGAGCAGCATCCAACTTTTGACAAGGAGGCTACCAGCCACCATGATAGCCCTCCTGTAGTTGTGGAGCTGACAGGGATGCCATTGAAACATGGGTGGCACTCCTAAACAGCCCTGACATTGGGTGTTTGATCCTCATGGCAAAATACAGCCCACAACATTGGAACTAACGGCCTCTTTGTAGAGGTTCCTCAGAGTGCCTAATAAGGCAGAAAGAAAAGAAGTACCACACAGCATACACGGTGGAGAAAGGGAATAATATTTGGAGGATGAGGTGGAAAGCAGCAATTTCTTTTAAAGGAAGCTTTTGAATACAAGGAGGAAAGTTGATAAAAAGACAATTATAGCTTTGTACAAAACAACGAATTGGCTAAATTTAAAACAGTGCATCTAGTATTGGGCTGGCAATTAATAAAAAGGTGAATGCCATGAGCAGCCTTTAAGATAATACCAGAGACAAGAAACTATAGTTAGGAGGGAAGATTTGCGATAATGGAGCTATTATGTTGGAGCAGAAAAGATTTAAAGGGATTTATTATTAGGTGGAGTTTTGCCAGACCATGCTGTGCTTAGGGAGCACAGTTAAAGATCGTCAATTTAAAACTGTCACAAAGAGGGTGAGAAAAGGTCCACAGAATCCCTAGTGTGGAAACATTTGGCCCACCGACCCTCCAAACCACCCAGACCCAGACCCATCCCCATCCACCTACCCAAAACCCTCCATTTCCAATGGCTAACACACCTAACCTACACATCCCTGAACACTATGGGTAATTTAGCATGGCCAAACCACCCATCCTGTGATTGTGGGAAGAAATCGGAGCACCCAGAGGATATCCACACAGACACAGGGAGGATGTGCAAACTCCACACAGACAGTCACCCAAGGCTGGAATGGAACCAGGGTCCCTGGCGCTGTGAGGCAGCAGTGCTAACCACTCAACTACCATGTTGGCAACAAGATGTTAGAAATTTCTTTGCAAAAGTTGTGTTGGAGATCATTGCACTTATAATAGGGCTACTGGATAAATGCGTCAAGGAGAATTAAAAGAAAGCAGGACAGTAAAATTTATCCTTTTCCTCGTGTATTGAACGTAATGCACAGGTTCTGGGAAGGAAATTCCACAGGAATGGTCCACTACAGTCAAGGAGAGCACAGAGAATAAGGAGTAACCCAATTATCAGAAACTAAGTGCACAAATGGATTGAGAGGGTAAGGACTCGTGGAGTGGGGACACATAGCTGGAGAAGGTTGTGCAGGAAATGGCAGGTGAAGGGTATGCAAAAGAGAATCAGTATTTTTTTCTGAGTAATTCAGTTGAACACAAACAGTCAATGAAGTTTGACAAGGGCAGAATAAATAGCAGATGGAACTCCGTGTAGGAAACATTGTGGGTTACAATCTTCTGAGTGAGTTTATAATGTGAAAGGTGAAGGCACGCTTAACAGAAAAGCAATAAAGGGAGCTACAATGGACAAGGACAAGGCAAGAGTAAGGTTTGGGCTGGAATGGACAAAGGATTTGAGTAGAGGCAGGTATTGCTCGGGAAGTGAAAGCAGTGCCCTGGTAACACTATGGATGTGGCAGGCCATTCCTTATCTAAACAGACAGATATATAATGGATACATAGCATTCAAAGCACAAAGGCAGAGCATCTGGTTTAACAGATTTTGCTCCACAGGGGCATCTTTACATTTTTTTTCACTTAGTGCTATCCACTTGGATTCCTTTCTCCGTCACACATTTACCTTGCGCCCCCGAAAATGCTACTCACTTCAACTACTCCTTGTGGCAGCATGCTCCACTCTCTAACCACTCTCTGGGCAAAGAATTCTCTCCTCATTCCGCATCGGACGGATAAGCAACCATTTTATATTTATGGCCCCTGCTTCTGGTCTGCCGTGTATGTGCAAACATTTTCTCTATGAAGACTATGCCAATCTATTTCATAGTTTTTGTGAGTTCTGGCAGCTGAGTCCTCAGTCTTCTCTTTTCTGAAGAAAAGAGCCCTCTGAGCCTGTTCAGTCCTACCTGGTAGGTATATACTAGTTTTAGATTCTGTGACTTCTCCAACACCTCTACAGTACCTGTGTAACATGGAGATGTGAACGTTTTACTGAAGTCCATGTGATCTGACCAGGATTAAGATTTCATCTTCATGCTTTTAAACTCTATCCCTTTAGAAACAAATACCAATGATTTGTTTGCTTTTTCATAAAAAATCACCTAATTTACTGTGTCACTGCTTTCACTAATTTGTGCAATAGTATCCCCAGGTCCCTGAGCCTCAATCTCATTTAAATTCTTGACTTTGTCCAGGAAGTATGTGACCTCCTCAATTTTCTTACCAAAATCTATCACTTTGCTCTGTTCTATATTTAAGTACTTTGCCAATTATATGCATGCCATTGTCCTCTTCTGTATTAATTACACCCCCAGCAAGTTGCTGAGGATCTGAAAACACTGGAATGCTCAATACTGCATTGCCAGCAAATAAGTGTGGGCGCTGCCTTGCCCAAATATTGTGCAAATGCTGGATAGAGAAATGATCAACTTCCAGATTACACTGATTCCATCTCCAATTAAAGAAATGGCAAAGTCACACAGATCAAAAATATTGCCGATTCACGTCCCTGTGAAACTGTGTGCATTTCTCTTCTCTATTGCCACAGGCTAAACATCTCCCCTAAGATTACTGCCCATCTGTTTTTCGAATCACTGGATGAAAAATGTAAAGGTGTAAGGGGTAATGCGAGAAGTCTGTGCTGTTGGTTGGTGTCAGGCCCAGGAGTAATGTGCCCGCTGCCATATATGGTCTAACTTATAATATCTGACAATAGGTTTACAGCCTCTCATTTTCATTCCAGTCTTACATGGAATTACTGAGGTACATTCTGTCTCACTTTCTCTCAAATGATACTGGAATCTGAACATGAATGGTTAAAACGCTTCTTGCTGATAACTCCCTCTCTTTTGTAGAAAGGGGTTGCTCCTCTTTCTGTGCCAGTCTGTCTTCTGCTAGTGTTGCTCGCTGAGACCAATAGCTAATTCTGCGAGACTGAACCCAACCATAAGTGCCAGAGGCCCCATGTAAATGGAATGTATCGCCGGTCACCTTTATTGTAGGCTTAGATAGGAATATGAAATAAAAACCGAAAGAACTGCGGATGCTGTAAATCAGGAACACAAACAAAGTTGCTGGAAAAGCCCAGCAGGTCTGGCAGCATCTGTGAAGGAAAAAACAGAGTTAACGAATTGGGTCCGGTGACCCTTCCTCAGAAACACAAATATGGTTTGTTTATCCATTGCTTCAGTCCACTTAGATCGCATAGGATTGTCAAAATTAAACAATAGCCCAACTATCATATGAACAACACTTACATTGAAATGATTTGAACCACAATCCTGGGCTAAAAGATAGGCACACGTTCCATTGAGGTTAGAGAAATGTCCATCAAAGGTCACCAAGTGCAACTCTCCAAACACAGTGCATGAAACGCCCTCTGCAGGAATATAACAGTACAGTGAGCATTTCAAGAACATATTTAGAAAAGATCAGGAGGGCACATCAAATTCCTTCCCACTGAGTTAATTACTGTTTTGAAGTGCAATGGAAGTGGCTGTATAGGAAAATGAAATTCAGTAGGGCTCTGGATAGTGTTGTCAAACAGAGAGCACTTGGGTTTCAGGTACATAATTCTTTGAAAGTGGCGTCAGTTAGACAGGATGGTTGAGAAGGCGTTTAGCACGCTTGCCTTCATTGCTCAGACCATTAAGTATAGGAGTAGGGACTTCATGTTGACATTTTATAGGACATTGGTGAGGCCGTTTTTGGAGTACTGCGTACAATTCTGGTCACCTTCCTTTTATAGGAAGGACATTAAATTGAAAAGGGTTCAGAAAAGATCTCCCAGGATGTTGTTGGGACTGGAGGTTGGGACTTCTTTCACTAGAGTGTAGGAGGTTGAGACGTGACGTTATAGACATTTATAAAATCATGAGGGGCATAGAAAAGGTGAATGGCAAGGATCTTTTCCCTAGGGTCAGAGAGTTCAAAACTAGGGGGCATATTTTTAAGGTGAGAGGAGAAAGATTTAAAAAGGACCTGAGGGGCAACTATTTTACACAGAGTGGTCAGTGTGTGGAATGATCTGCCAGAAGAAGTGTTGATGCAGCTACAGTTACAACGTTTAAAAGACATTTGGATAAGTACATGAATAGGAACGGTTTGGAGGGATATGGGCCAAATGCAAATGGGACTAGTTGGGTTTGGGAAACCTGGTCTGCGAAGAGGAGTTGGACTGAATAGTCTGTTTCCATGCTGTATGGAAAAGTCAATTTATTTGTGGCATTGTTATTAAATTTTGGGCAAAACACTGGAGCCATGGAATAATTTTTACACCAGGCCAGAACAAAGTCCCAATAGCAGCAGAATGGAGCCCTACCAGCAATAGTCCCGCACCCCAGAAGTATCCTTTGTAAAAGCATTCTTTATAAAACCTCAATGTTTGGAAGAATCGCTTTCATATATTTCAAGCTGACTTACTTGGTCTTATTTTTGGGACACACCTCATGCAGCATTCTCCATCAGGCTGGGACATGATGGACTGTGCTGGGCAGGAAACGAGAGGAGAGCAGGGCTTGGCATGACACTCCACAGTTCCATTGTCACAACGACAGAGATTACAGCCATCCAGCCACTGGGACTGAGCCTGTCACAAACAGCAGAGAGAGGAAACAGGGGTGGAAAATCACTGAGCAGCTGCATCCACCGTCTAACGGACTAAACATTTAGCTTCTGGATATTTTTGCTCCGGTAAAATTGGGAATAATGAATCCACAGGCACTATACATGTGGAGCCCTGCATCTAATCTATACCAATCCTGACCAGGAAATGCTCAGAGGACAATATAGAGGGAGTTTTACATTGTATCCAACCTGTGCTGCAGGTAACTGAAGAGTGACTTGATCCCAGAATGGTCACTGTCGCTGATCCAGAAAAAGCAGCCAGATAACTAAAGGGTCACAAAGTGACCCGGACTCCTGATCACATCCCAAATTCTACCCAAGACTGAGGGTGGACAGAATGGAGGGAATGGATGCCACCAGTTTGAGAATCCAGTAACAATCAACAAACACATTTGCACATCAGTCATGATTTTCCCCGAGTGTTGAAACAGGCTCGGAGGAGGGAATTTTGAACAGGGAGGCAGATAATGCTGCCTCGTTCCACCCAACATGGGGTCTCACTGCCAGCTTTTTCTGTCATTCTCTATTCGCAGTCAGGAGGGAAATGGCAGCTACCAACAAGCAGTGAAACACGGTGAACAGCAGAGATATGAGAGGATGATTATTTCCTCACATCTACTGGGAAAGGGTAGGCAGCCTCACCTCATGCACTTGATCCCGGTATACACACAGTGAATCAACACACACTGGGCAGCACTGACCCACTGGTGTCTCCTGCTGCATTAAACTGCATGGCAGGGCCTGGCATTGCTCCTTCTGTGACTCGCACATAACCGTCCCTTCCTGAAAATAGAAAATACAAATCAAGGATGGGAACAAAACTAATTTTTTTCTTTTGCACTAGATTTATTTACAATTCAAATGATCCAATTCAAACTGCAAACTGTATGTTGCACCAACCTACGACTTACAAAATCCAAAAGCTTGCATTTTCAAATAAACCTGTTGAACTATAATCTGGTGTCATGTGATTTTTTTTGACCACATACAAAATAGGCACAAAACAAAGGAATTCACACCATTACTGCAGTGCCTGGTTACTGCCAGCAGATGGGAGTGTAACATCAGAAACAACTAATACTACAGGCTGACTCTTATAGGAGGCTGAGATGTGGGCTACTGAGAGATTTGTGGCAGAATCTGATCAGACCAATCTCAACGTCAGAGCACCTTGCTCCATGCTTTTCACAAGCAGTGCACTTAGTTTTTCACTGGGCAGTGGCGAGTTGTCAGTTAAGAGGGAGAAGTGCTTGTTACGCACCTTGTTGATGGCTTAACTCACCTCATTAACATTCGGTTTTTTAATCTTATTAAATGTGCCAAACAAGCTCAGTGTCAGGAAAACTCAAAATGGAAATCACGGAAGGTACCAGACAGATTCAGCTCACTGCTTGCTCTGAGCAAACTCCATGTTATTTATGACCAAACAGTATGTCAGAGTAAGACCTCCGGATACCAGCCACCTGCACTCCTTGTCCACGAATATTGACAGCTGGCATCTGCCAATCCCTCACTGCATACTTCTCGAGCACACTGGCAGGCTGCTCAGGAAACACACGCTCCCACTGCAGGGCACACCAGCAACTAGCATCGAAAGGCTGCAGCTGGGATGCTTTGGGTGCAGGGACAAGCACTCATCTCAAGGATTGAGCCAGGCTACCTCTCAGACCTTTTAATGCTTGGACATTTGGCACCTAACCTATATGCTCCCAGCAACTCTACCTATGCCTGTGGACATTGGTGATACAGCCAGAACCAAAGGCTCTCAGTGCTGCCATATGAAGGAGCTCTTTAGCACAAACACACAGACAGGTTGCTTGTGGTGGAGTAGGGAGAAGACAGCTTGATGTATGGCACTCAAGAGATGTCAGTTTAACACCTACAGCATGTGCTAGCTCCTTGCGTGGCATCCTGCTCTGCACAATTGGAACAGGCAATAAAGCAAGTGTTGGAGAAGGAAGAAGCTTTCCCCTTGTGCATGACAGAGCTCAGCTTATTTAGGCACTACACACCAGACAGGAACTCATTGACGCCTGGCTCCAGGAGATCAGAGCTAGGTGCAGTAGAGAATTGTAGAGTGTGAAGTATTTGTTGGCCATATATGGCGAAATGTGGTTTTCTTTGTTGAGAGCAAACCTCAGCCTCGATTGGTTTTATTTGTGTTCACTTTTGCTTTCTGTAAATAAAAGGTCATGTTCAGAATTATTCAAATGCTTGTCTCTGTGTGATATTTTCTACTGGACAATGACAATTTGCAGGTCTCCAGTGGACAGAAGATAGGGCGGTGTTGATGTAAGGGAAGATGTAGCTAAGGTAAAGTGTATGGCACCGTGGTTAAACAGTGACAGGAGTGAAAGAATGGGGTTGTACGTGCAAGGGACCACTGTGCCATGACATTACCAGTGAGGGACAACACTGGATTGCCAATGGTCATTTAGATGCCTTTCAAAGATGGTGCGAGTGCAAGGGATGCCAGCCTTTTGGTGGTTGTCCACTGAGTGGTAAGCTGTTCTGGGAATGACATACAGTAAGTCTGGGACTGGAATTGGATGTGAGAGACACAGTCGGGGCAGGGTATGTAGCTAGTTTGCTAAGATATGGCAAGAAAACTCACTAGGCATGGCAGTAGAAATTCCTCCAAAAAAACACAATGTAATCAGACTTATCCAAACAAGGTAAGATTCAGCCTTGTATCTCTAATCACTGGCATCCAATAACTCATAATTTCCACCGATACTGAGTGTATTGAACAAACAAAGAGTTTAGATTTCCAGCTCCTTCTCCTTTGATTGTTTTTTGCTAATCCCTAATTCTTAGCCGACTCTTATTATGTTCACTTCAAACATCCACTCACAACCAGGTCATCTCCTGACTGGGTTTATCTGAAGCTCGAGAGTGAGAAAAGCAAAATACTGCAGATGCTGGAAGTTTGAAAACAACATTGTAAAATGCTGAAAATACTCGGCAGATTGGGCAGCATCTGCAAAAGAAATACAGTTACTATTTCAGATTGATTAACTTTCATCAGAACAGTTCACTCTGATCCTCTTCCCTAGCTCAGAGTCCATATACTTGTTCTACTGATCTTCATAGCCTTTTCTTCTTGTGTTTTTGCTTCATGCCCTTCATTCTCACCTAATAACTCAACATCACCCGCAAACATCATCGACCATGGCTCAGAACTTGTTTTATCCACTTTGTTGGATTTATCAGTGAAACTGCATCCCCCGGGCAGAACCATAACCTGGCAACTCTCTGTTCCTGGTCCCAACACAGCAGTCAGACTGTGGAAAGGAGATTTTAAAAGGTATTGGGTTCCTAATGGACAGACTCAAAGGCCTTACTGTGTGTCTATACAGCATTTTTCTCCCTTTCTTCCAATTCTGTGAACTGCTAGCCTTTTCTATCTGCCATTGTCCCCTCTAGGTGTGCACTGTGTAAACAGTGAAGATATCTCAAAGACAGTTCACAACCTATTCCCTTTAAAGTGCTGTGTTTGTACAGCCACTGCAGTGATTTCAAGGAATCATGTGCTGAAATAAACAGGCTCTGAATAACAGACAAAACGTAGAGGCATCATTGCTGTTCACCCAGTAGCATCTCTAGCAACTGCACAGAATGATCTCCCAATGCCCTCCTGTACGGATGGAATGTTCAGGGTAGGATTGACCATCACTGAAAAGATAGGTGATGTATTGCTCTTCATATCACTTTCTTCAGTCTGCATTCACGGTTCATACAGGTGCCCGAGAAAGATCTGACTGGGGGCTGGGTCCTCTGTTAAAATATTCAGGCATACAGTGGACCATTAGAGACAATGAGGTCTGGTTGCTGGACTGAAGAGGATTATCTACTCTAAACCAATTCACAGCAACACAAACGATCAAACCACTTTCCAGTCACTCACTGTGCAGACCTGCAATGTGCTCTCCCACAGTCCTCACATTAAACCTTTAGGAAGCAAAGCAGGGAGCTACTCAGCCACAGTTATACGTGCATGGAAGAGGTGGGAGCCATTGCTTGATGGAATGGGCTGAACGTGGTCTGTTCCAAGAATGCAGACATGGAATTGCTCCATTAAGGGTGTTGCAAGTTAACGTTTCATCACCTCCTGATTGACTATTTCCAAAATCAGTTCCCATCAGGCATAAGTTACACAATGTTTACTTACTGAGCATTGACACTGAAGGCAGGGCTTGTTGTGATGGATGAACTGAGATCCATTGGTGTAGTTTGTGCCATTAAATAAACAACCTATAAAAAATAAAAGATTGCAAGCATTTACTAGTCTTGGAAAATGTTCCTGGAAGAATATCATATCTTTCTCTAGAATGAGCTGGAGGCAAAGCGATGGACAGCGTTCATGCTAACCCCAAGGAATTGTTCAAGTGAAGTGAGTATTTTTGGATCATGATTTGTATCAGTCAGGAAAAAAAACCAGTAAAGTGTTTCCCTCACTTGATTCATGATAACACATTAGTTACATTAGCATCAACAGTGAATTAACATTGTGGAATATTTATCAATCCTTCAGTTTTCTATCGGCTGGTGTGCACATACAGCCACAAACGATTGATTCCAGGAAAGTAACCCAAAAATCTTTTAAAATCCCTCACTCCATCTTTAACTCTTTTCTACATGTACGGCCTGACCTGATCTTACTCAGGTCCTCATTATCCATGTACCACCAAATCTGGACATTCATCCTCTCCCCGTATACTTACTTAAGGCTTCCTGGAAAATCCCGCTTTGAAAACCGGCAGCATCTGGTGAAATGGTTTCGGCTGTTGCTGGGGAAGGGAACTCAGTTTGTGTCACAGAGTGCCCCTGAGACATACTGCTTGTGCTCTGGTCCATTTCTGTGGCATGTCCAACCCTTGGTTGTTCTGTTGTGGCAATCCTTCGCCTCTCAGGTGAAGCAGTGAATCCCTGTGCTAACTTGCTCCTCACACTCCAAGGCAACATGCGACGCAGGGAGCGCTGCCTGGTTGTGGGACTGGCTATAGGAGACACAGATAATAACCTGCCTTCCGAGCCAGAGGGGTGAGGTCGAACTGTTGCTCTCCAAGGTCCTCGAGAGAGCTGTGTTGGTGCCGGTTTCTCAGGGATCATGTTGCCACTGATAGGAGGGTACAACACTGAGTTCTCAGGAGATACTGGAAAAGAAAGGAAATTCAGGAAATAGGATCCAAAGTCATAAATTGTTGATGACTCTTAAGATAATATTGATGAGGCAGTTGATCAGTTTAATTAAGATCATCCTTCCATGCCCATATGATTTCACCACATCACAGTGTCTAACTGTCTCTAGAACGATTCAATGTGTTTTTGTCCGTATTTTTCTAACACAAAGTGGCCCAGTGAGTGCCTGGGTGCAGTTTTTTATCACGAGGCTGGAATTTGCCCAAGAGCAGCGCATGTTTCACCAGCAATAATTCCAAGCAAGTGCTTGAAAACTCCACTTACATGCGAGGATTATTTTTCAGATGTACTCTCAACGGAGGAGCAGACCCAGAGCAGATAAGCATTTCACGACCCTTTAACCTTTTAAACTGACCCATTAGGACTTACTTGAAATTAGACTCGGAATTTACACTTGAAACTGCACTTAACACCTCAGATGTCCCCCTTTGGTTCCATCTCAGCCAACGACCAAGGACCCAGTTACCCAATAGAATGTAGTCAAGGCATTAAATTGCATTATTCAAATGTAACTTGATAGTTTAAGTCCTTTTGGGTCCCCAGAGGTTATTAACAAAGCTAATGATCATCACCGGTCATCATCCAGCTCCACTGAATATGGTACTTACAGTCAGGGCACATGGGACAGCAGGTGCCAGGGATATGAAGTAAAGGCTCTTCACACTCCAGCTCTGTACAACTATCTCCTTTCCAGTCACACTCTACATTGCCTTCCTGGGGCGAGAGGGGCACAGAGTCATGATATTGCAGAACTATCTCATTGTCAAACAGATCAACATTGGCACAAAACCTAAATTGAACATGGAGCTGCAAATTAGTCACTTACATGAGTGAATTACTGGCCTGTGATGTGGGTGTGAGAGAGGAGGGGCATGGAATCTTTGATTTTGTGGATTCGGAGCAGAAACTCACACTGTGCATGGAATGGTCAAATCACTGCTAAGCTGAGAATGTGAGAGGAGACCACATCTCATTGTGACGGTCTCCACTCAATAGACAGTAAAATGATACATTCTAGATGCATCACATTTCTAAAACGGTCACCCAATTTCATGCAGCCCTTGGTGGAACGTGTTGTGACTGAACAATCCTCATACACACCCCCTCAAAACAAACTATTTGAAACACTATTCTTATTTCCTTAAGCACTATGGCCAATTTGATATTAACTTTATCTCTATAGAATTGTCTCATAATGCAAGCTGACTTATCTAAGCCTTAATAACCAGTAGTGGCCTCCTTTTTAATTGTGATATCATTAAATTTGAATACTACTATTAATAATTTTTAGAAATAGTAATCACTGTCACTGTAAGCAGGATATTGATGATTTCTAAAGGCAAAATTTGACCTATAATATGTTTTCGTGAACGCTCTGCCTCCAATTTTGCAGACGTTTACATTGCATTGATCTTTCACTCATTAATAGACCCAGGTCAGAATAGGTTTAGTCCTTCTTAAATTTGAGTTCCCTCCTGATTGCAGGTGACTGCCTTCCTCCCTGTCTCTTGCCTGTATTTTTGAGAACTTTTACCATGTGCGCACATGTCTCGTGCTCGAGTTAGTCCATGCGGGTGAGACGCCTAGGATGAGTGTGCTTCATGCGGCTTGAATGTCACTGGACAAAATAGAACTGCACAGACTTAGTGACATGGTCTGAAATAACCACTTGTATGGTGCATTTTGGTAGCACCTAGCTCCCCAAAACGGGGACTTGCGGGTATTGGGACTCTATTCAATATCCCGTGTCTCCTTAAACCAAGCTCTGATCCGGCACGTGTTGTCTACTTTGTGAGAGAACATTAGCAGCCATTTATCCAAACCACCCTGTTCCTCCAAGGGGCGTGTAGCCTACTGTGAACTGCATTCCCACCTCCTGAGCAAACTTTGGCGCAAATGATGATTTATTATCAAACTCAAAGGCAAAATTCTTTCATACATCCTCACAATCCCACTATTCAGCCTTGGACAACAGTATAGGAGGAATCTAGTTACTTGGAGTTCTGACAAAACGCTAACTCTGATTTCTCTCCGTAGACGCTGCCAAACTCGCTGAGCTTTTCCAACAATTTCTATTTATTCTTTCTAATTTCCAGCATCCGTAGTTCTTTGTTTTTTTTTAAGTTACTTGGAGTATTTGACTTACTCTGTTAATAGCCAATTCCATTCTCATTTGACCAGCTATATTTTATCGATGATTTAAATATTTCAGCCGCAAATGTGTTTTCTGTTAAATTTGTTCTGTGGGATTATTATCCTGGAGAAGTACAGTTCCTCCTATTTTCATATCACTCAAAGCTTGGAATGCTTAACCTTTTGTCTTCAAATTCTGCACCCACAATGAAAAAAGTATAGCCTGTTTGCTCTTACCACATCTACTCACTATGACAGTACCTACCGTACAGAGACAGACGACACAGGGGTCAGTGGCTGAGATATAATATCCTCCATCTTCCAGAACCTGGCCATCATACAGACACACTGCAGAGAGAAGATTAAGTAAGACAGCTTGGAAAACAAAGTCACCTTCATTTGAGAAAAATAAATCAAATTTATGAAATAGTCCAGCAGCCAGAAGTTAAGAAAAAAAAACAAAATGTTGTTGATAAAAAGCCAACCAGGGAAAAGTAGTTGCTTAAGTCCAATTTGGATCATGTCAACAGTCAACATTCAGAAATCAATGGACTGTATAACTGGCAGATAAAGCATACAAATGTATCAGATTTCCCTCATTCAACAAATTGGGGATTAATTGGTGAAAAGCTTAGAAAGGCACAGAATATCTTGACAGACCTTCAAGTCAAGCACAAAAACAAGCTTCAACTGAGGCAGAAAGAGGAAGGCTTACTACAAATTCCTTACAGATTTAGCCATTGTTTTCAAGCAATTAACACAACAAAGGATTGGCAAAAATGTTTCACTTTCACAGAAGTGTTAACAGCTCCGAGATCACTATGAACTGTTAACTGAGGAAAATATTACTCTGTATTTATGAATGATCGTCTTGAGTTTAAAAAAGACGCTCTTGAAAGACAGCACAAATCTTCCTTGAAGTTTGAAGGAGACAGTGAGGGAGAAGCAGGCCCCTGCTAAGGATGAAGATCATCTACAGAATGGGGATGATCTTTTGGAAAACATCTTAGCAATACTGCAGACCACAGAGCTATGCAGGAAATTCTTCCACCTCCTGATTCTGAAGTCTATTCCCTCACCAACAATAATGCATTTCTAGCTTCTGATGGAGTTCCAGGAACGTTCTCATCCATTGCCGCTACAGTGATCAAAGAGGCCTTAGAACACAGAACATAGAACATAGAACATTACAGCGCAGTACAGGCCCTTCGGCCCTCGATGTTGCGCCGACCTGTGAAACCATTCTGAAGACCATCTAACCTACACTATTCCATTATCATCCCTATATTTATCCAATGACCATTTAAATGCCCTTAAAGTTGGTGAGTCTACTACTGTTGCCGGCAGGGCATTCCACGCCCTTACTACTCTCTGAGTAAAGAACCTACCTCTGACATCTGTCCTATATCTATCACCCCTCAATTTAAAGCTATGTCCCTACGTGCTAGCCTTGCATCCGATACAATTTTCAAGAGAACTCAGAATCCTAATTGGAGATTGATGTCTCAACGGAGAGGGTTGTGGAGTGGGGGTGGTAGGAATTGGGAGTAGCGAGTTTTCTGTTGCGGGTTAAAAGGGGTGCCGTTGAAGAGCTTGGGAAGAGCTGTGAAGTAAATAGTCAATGATATCTCTACTTTAAGAATAGCTACTGAGCATATGAGAAAGGCAATAGCATTGTCAGATCACATGGAATTGGATTCTTGAGTCTGTTAGATCCAACAGTGTGCCCTGTCTTACTATGACTTGTAAACAGTTAGGTTTCATAAAGCCTTTTCATGTTCACTCGGATGAGTGTCGGATATGTATCTTACCTCAAACCAAACTAAACCACAATGAACAGGTTACACACAGATTAAGCCACACTGTTTCACAAGTTTAAAAAAGTGTTCAGCCAGTCACATGCCAGACTTAAATATATAATTGGTGCATTTCAATAAGATGATTCTATTGGGAGGACAATGGTGGATGGTATTATAACCACTGGTTGCTCCTCAGCCGACGGAACAGTGGCCTGATCATCTGGGAGATACTGTGAAAACATAATTTTAACAATTTAGCCTCATCAGCATTGGTACCGCAAGCTACCTGTCCAGAAAACACTGCCCAGGGGTAGCTATTAGGATTAAAACTGATAGATTATAGGCAGCCAACCTGCAGATCACCTTAGACCCTATATTATCAGGAGGAATTGTGATGAGATTTTCCAATATAGAAATGGAGGCAAGATCAAGGAAGCAGGGGTCTAACTATTCCTTAAGGCTCCATGGAGCACTTTGTTACTCCTGGTCTCACAAGCCGTGAGACAATGGCATCATGGTAATATCTGGACGTTAAACAAATAATTCAGGAATGACACCAATGCTCAGGGAACGTGGGTTCAAATCTCACCACAGCAGCTGGTGACATTTAAAATTCAATTAATTAATCTGGAATACAAATCCAGTCTCAGAATAGTGATCATTGATTGTTGCAAAAATCCATGGAGTTCATGATCATCATGAGGGAAGGAAATCTGGTCTCGCCTAGTGTAACTCCAGAGCCATATGCTTAACTCTTAACTGCTCTCTGAAATAACCTAGCGATTTGCAAAGGGTAACAAATGCTGGCCTTACTATAGTGATGCTCACATCCCATGAGGGAATAAAGAAATAGTAGAGGTAACTGCTTTTTTTGCTCACCACATTTTGTTGAGCAATGCAGCTGTGACAGATGCTCCATTTAACAGATCATTAAAGTGGCTTTGTGGCTCTGTGTGTGTCCTCAGAACCTGATTTATATTTTTGCATGAGCTTTCTGCCCAAGTCGGGGACAAGCAGTACAACAGCCCAGGAAAACAATGGCATTAAAATGGCCAAAGGAACAGCATGGATTTTAATTCCAGTTCTGTCCACTTTGCATCATTAAGATTCCACTTTGTGATTTTAGAAACAGCTCACACAGAATCAGATACAATAAAATCAGTGGACAGCACTGCGCATCCTTGACCCAATATTTGGTGCCAACAGAAACTAATTGCCACCTTGAAAATCTCCGACAGCGTGTTACATTTATTGGAATACTCCAATACGGTAACTCACCTCCCGACTCCCCAGAGCCAATCCACCGTCTGTAAGGCACAAGTCAGGAATGTGATGGAACATTCTCCCCATTTGCCTGGATGGCTGCAGCTCCAACAACACTCAAGAAGCTTGACACCATCCAGGACAAAGCAGCCCGCTTGATTGGCACCACATCCACAAGTATCCACTCCCTCCACCACTGACGCTTACTTGCAGCGGTATACAAGATACACTACAGACATTCACCAAAGATCCTTATACAGCACTTTCCAAACCCACAGCACTTCCATCTAGAAGGACAAGGGCAGCAGATACATGGGAACAACACCACCTTCAAGTTGCCCTCCAAGCCACTCACCATCCTGACTTGGAAATATATTGTTGTTCCTTCACTATCACTAGGTCAAAATCCTGGAATTCTCTCCCTAATGGCATTGTGGGTCAACCCACAGCAGGTGAACTGCAGCGGTTCAAGAAGGCAGCTCACCACCACCTTCTCAAGGGCAACTAGGGACGGGCAATCAAAACACTCACTCCAATAACCAGTCAGTCACAAAATCAGGTTGAAATATTTATGCCAAGGCTCCCAGCAAAGTTGATAATTGGATGCATAACAAATCATGTCAAATGTGGCAAAGAATCAGCTTTATGAAAAATTAATTCAAACAATACTGTGTTAGACTTGTGCCCTTCCTTGAAACATTGGCCATTTGAGAGTTGGGAGAATAGGATCCAGTGGGGAAATGCCTTTCAATCATCTGGACAGTGTCCCATCCGCTGAAGTTGTTTTTCAGGAGCTTTACTTGGATGTTTATGGAGCTGACTACAGAAGAATTCTAGTAATTGTTCAATGGTCCTCCCATTGAATCTGGAAGATATGGCGGAGACTTTTCTGATGGAATTTCTCCAGCTCCATATGCCACTGATACACAGCATAGGATACGAGTGTGCTGATGACAACTGCTGTGTGCACTTCGACTTTTTGTTGACTTGTGAAGATCCCTGTTTCCATGGCAACTGACCTAGTCTTGGATCTCCCTGTCAATGGTGGCCGTTTGAGAAAGCTAGCTGCCAACACATGGTCTACAAGTAAGTTCACAGTAAAACACAGCGGTGAAAACCGAAACACTGTTGGCCCTTACCTGAGCAAGTCGAGCAGCATTCACCGGGAACAGTATAGGGGCGCTCACAGGAAGGTGACTCACATGTCAAAATGTCACAGCTTACTTCTCCAAACTGTTTGAGAGAGATGGCCATAGAGTAAGAGGAGTATGATATGGAGAAACTGAGAGTTACAGAGAAGGGCGTTGGAAATGGGAACTCAGAATAAGACAAAGAGAAGGACCAATACAGATGGAGTAACAGAGAGAGAGAGAGAGAGAGAGAGAGAGAAAAACAGGCACGGAGAAGATGGAAACTCACAAAATCAGCATTTCCCAGAAATCACAGGAAATAGGAAAAAAGTTACAGAATCATTAATATCACAAAACATTTGCATGAACTTAAACTCTTTTCTCCCTCTGATTCAAATAGCTCTATTCAAAAAGGATGCCAGTAATAAAACTTAAAAAACTAGCATCCTTTGATATTAGTCTGGTAGTTGTTAATTAGAGACAAAATGATCATTTGCAATCAACCTTTGAGTGTCAGATCGATGCATGCATGTGTATATAGACACACAAGTGTATTGCATATTTAAAAGCTCAGTTTTAAAAAGTGAAAACAAAAGGCTGTTAAGATGTTCCAGCGCGCCATATGGCAGTTTTGCAACGGAACTGCTGGCAGCAAAGTCTGTAACTATTATCTGAATAAATATGGAGCTGAGTGAAGGAAACTCCCAACCACTTGTGAAATTCACATTTCCTGTACAAAAGTGTAACATATTAGATTCACCAAGAGATAGCGAAACTCAATGAATGTTCAACAATGTGAACTAGATTCCATTGACATTTCATTGTCTTATGATGGCCCTGCATCCAAACACAAAAACTTTGATGGTATCAAGCTGCCATTTGTGAAAAGCCACAACACGGGCTGTTTATCAGTTTAATGCATAATCTTATTTAGGAAATGACTCTAAACTTGGAACAAGATATTTTCGGTTAGATCCTATCACCATGTTTGTTGCCTGTTTTTAAAGCAGAAAGCAGCTCTTCAGGCAGAGAGAAACCAGCAAAAAAAACCCATTGAACCTCGTTCAGCCAAGTAGGCGGCCCAAGGTAGCTAACAGCAGCATCTTCAAAGTGGGAGAAGAGCTCTCTTCAAACTGCTCCAACCTCAAGATCACATGACAACCACCCTCCTGGTGCCAACAACAATAAACATGTCAACTTAATGGAAATGCTCTACGAGTCCTTCACTGCAATGAAAGTTTCAACTTATCTGAGACGATACAGATCTGCTACAAAAGAACGGAAACAATTCCAAGTTGTAATTGTATCCTTTTTTTCCAAGTGTATCTAATCTTTGTGTGAGCTGTATGAGCAAGACGTTGCATTTTTAAACATCTAGGCAATGTGTGGAATAATGAATAACCCTTTTTAATTCGGTATTTACACAGAAAGCTTGCTGTTGGAATGATTTAAACTGGGAGCATCCACTCTGAGTTTAAGAACACACTTTAACCATGAACATTAAGCAAACCAATTCTGTCTGGGACAACAGCGTCTTTGTTCCATAAGACATTTAACCATAACACAGGTTACCTGCAGAGTGAAGCTGTCTCTCTATCAACCACACTCACTATACACTCATAACAACATTCAGTTCTTATCTCGTGATTGAGTCTCAGTTTATTTGCCTTGTAATCCACTCTTGCTCACTATGTGTTTCAGTCCATCCCCTCCCCCAATTCCACGTAGAGTCATTGAGCTGTACAGCATGGAAACAGACCCTTCGGTCCAACTCGTCCATGCCAACCATCCTAAAATAAATCTAGTCCCATTGCCAGCATTCGGGCCCATATTCCTCTAGACCCTTCCCATTCACATGCCTTTTAAACGTTGGAAATTGTACCAGCCTCCACCACTTCCTCTGGCAGCTCATTCCAAACACGCAAAACTCTCTGCATGAAGAAGTTGCCCCCAGTAGTGTCTGAGTATTTTCCTGTATTAAATTTCACTGCTTCTTCCATTTTGCAAAACATCAGGAATTATCACCTCATGAAGCAACACTTACTTGGCATTTACATTGGTAGCAGGGTCTATTTTCAGGCTGAAATGACTGGCCGTTGGTGACTTTCCTCCCTTCGTAATTGCAATCTGTAAAACAAGGACCATGTGAACATGTGAAGGTAGCCACAATGCAGAGGAACCCAACATCTAACCATTGTTCATTGTCAGCAACTGTCACCACTGATTAATGTCAGCTTTCACAGCCCTTTGGGCTGACAGGCACCTATCTCTTGATATTGATAGTCTGTTCTTTCTGAGCTAAGATATGCACTCACACAGCTCTGATAGAGAATACAAACAGGTGACCTGCACTGGGTCATCCCACACTATGGGACATGGAAGAATGCAGCTGGCGATCACCCTTTATAGAAGCAGAGTGAAGCTTCTGAGATAAGGCACACATGAGAAAGGGAATTCTAAGTACACTGGCTCTTTGTGGTGAAATGTTTTGCTGCTGCCTCCAGTGGGAGAATAATTAACACACAGAGGTAGGCAGACAGTGGGGAATGATTAACACAGTAAGGGCGACAGACAATGGGATAATTATTAGCACAGTGAGCGAGACAGACAGCGAGCAATGACCAAGGAGCTCAGAATTTTTCTGGTTCTAAAGTGACACAGGACAAGGGAGAACAAGGCAGGATTATGACAATCTTTGAAGGTAAACACTAGTGGGATAAAAACTCAGTGCTCACATCCAACCTTCGATTCGGAAAGGGCTTGTTCGGTTCATTGATGCACTCACCAATGCAGAGGGGGCAGCACTCACCCTCAGAATGGAAAGGATAAGTGCAACGAGCTTTGCACTCCATAGGGGAGCAAGCAGCAGAGCCTGACTGTGGAAGAGAAAGACATGGCCAAATATTAAAACATGTTACCGTCCTTTCAGATATCATCAGTGACAAAATGAAGGAATTCTTTGGAAATAAGAATAGAACTTGGAAATTCATCTTGCGTCATAGCTCATTGCAACATCCAAGAGTCAAGGATGCAGGTCAGAATTCATAACCGACCGTACTGTAAATAAAAATCCCAGAATTTCTCCTTAAACATCCGAGCTCAGCTTAACAGCAATGAGCTGTAGATTGAAATACTAAAGACCCATACACACCTACCAGACAGATGCAGGTGAGGCAAGAATCTGATGTTGATGGGAAGCTCTCATTATTCTGATAGGTCACCCCACCATAGGTACAACCTTCAAAGAAAATGAAGAGGTTAGTGGTGGATCTAATTCAGGTACCAATTGGTAAATGAAGACATTAAGCAGATCCACCATAATCCCCTGAAGCTGGAAGTACCTGATATTTAACAGACAGCTGCCCTTATGAATTTGCAATGCTATAAGTTTTGCATGATGTGAAAGACATTTACCTGTGATTTTTTTAAAAAATATCTCCAGAAGGAGCAAAATTGACAACCGCAATGACATTTCAAAAAGGCAAGAGCAAACTATCTTACAGGCTCAACATACTCAAAATGAAATTGCCCAGTTTTACTGTAAATGATGTAGAAAAAGTCAATTGTTTAAGATTAAACTTCATGGGGTTGACTTTTGTATGGATAATGTTATGAAGGTTTGATATACGTGCATGATTTGGGCCCAAGTGAAATCCAAAAAAGACCATTGTAATGGGATAAAATGTAAAAAACTAAATAATTTATGTTAATTATCTAATATTTATTTTATAACATTACAAACTGTAAACAACTATTCCATATTATTTATGCAACAGTCATTTATTTATTTATCACTTTTTTTCATCGATACTTATCCGTTTACATTGAAATCAGATCACTCACATTTCCAAGAATATTGCTTGGTTCTGAAACTTTTGGGCTTTAATCCCTGAAGGTTGATGTTTACACAGTTATATGAAAAATTTGGTTTTCTTTCAGGCCAAAATCATGGTGTCAATTTTACGCAAATGAACAAGAGTAGTCAAGATTCAATCAAGAGCAAAAGCATTCCATTCAGAGAACATCCTCAAACAGTATTTAAATTTGGACTGAATGTAGTAGGGTCTCACCATCTACTCGTTCAGTGATTGTGCTTTACATTAGCTGGACACAAGATATTAAGGGAGATTCACAGTCGTGGTTCAAAATCCCTAAATCAAAGTGCTGAGAAATGTACACCAATACAATTTTGGAGATGGAATGACTAGCCTCTGCCTGTGGGAACACATCTGGTCAGTCTAGCTTGGAGAGTTTAGAAGTTACGGTAATCAAGACAAGGCCTTAGTACAAGTGAACACGAGCAGGCATTTAAGCAGCTGGAATGTGCAGCCCACCGGTAAAGAACATTGGCAAGGTTCCTTCTTTTTAGAGTCATAGAGCTGTACAGCATGGAAACAGACCCTTCGGTCCGACCCATCCATGCTGACCAGATATCCCAAATCAATCTTTGCCAGCATTTGGCCCATATCCCTCCAAACCCTTCCCATTCATGTACCCATCCAGATGCCTTTTAAATGTTGTCAATGTACCAGCCTCCACCACTTCCTCTGGCAGCTCGCTCCATACACATACCACCCTCTACATGGAAAAGTTGCCCTTTAGGTCCCTTTTAAATCTTTCCCCTCTCACCTTCAACCTATGCCCTGTAGTTTTGGACTCCCCTACCCTGGGAAAAAGGCCTTGGCTATTCACCCTATCCATGCCCCTCAGCCTCTAGTGCTCCAGGGAAAATAGACTCAGCCTATTCGCCTCTCCCGATGGCTCAAACCGTCCAATCCTGGCACCATCCTTGTGAATCTTTTCGGAACCCTTGCAAGTTTCACAACATCTTTCTTGTTTAGCTGTGGTCAAATACCTGTTCAGGTATTGTTTTTGCAGGGTTTCTGGAGTCAAGGGAAGCAGGAGCCAACCTTCCACCCACCCACCCCTGATCCCTCACCACCACTAGTGGATTTTAAAACTTTCCCTTTAAAAGTATCACCTCAGAGCAAACCTCAGTCTAAAGAGGCCTGGCTCACTCCAGTTGCAGAAAGTTATAGTTCTGGAGGGTTAATGTTCATATTAGATTTCCTCCATCCATTCTACTGATGACAGACAGTTTAGGGGTGGAGACAAGGAGTTTTGCTCCGGCCTTCAGAGAAAGCAAATGTATCTGTACCAAATTGCTAAATTGGTAATTATGCCTGATCCAATAGATTTGTACTTTTTGCAATCATGCAATAAACCGCCACATGATCTAGGACAGTGACTCTTCTATAGACACTCTATAGTGGTATATCCTAGAGACAGCAAATACCACAAGGTACCAGGAGTGGTCAATTTGGAAAATACTACTTCTCCCTCCCAGGATCATAGTCATTAACTGATCAGTATTCAAATGCTTCCTCAATGACCTTCCTTTCATCATTAGGTCTGAAGTGGAGATGCTCACTCATGATTTCACATATTCAGTTCCTCAGATATTGAAGCAATTGTCCCATGTATAGCAAGACACAGGCAACATTCAGTCTTTGACTGACAAGAGCCAAGTAACATTTGAACTATACAGGTGATTAGCAATGACCATCTCCACCAAAGGAGAGTTATAACCCCATTCCCTTGATGTTGAATGGCATTATAATCAGCAGATCCCTCACTATCAATATCCTGGAGCTCACCACTAAGCAGAAACTTAACTGGATCAACCATCTAAATATCAAGGATACAAGGCCTGGCTAATTCACACCGAGTAACTCACTTCCTGACTCCCCAAAGTCAATTCACTATTCAAAAGGCACAAGTTAGGAGTATGCTGAAGTATTTTGCACTTAGCTGAATTGATGGCATTCCAACAATGCTCAAAAAGCTCTACATCAGTGGAACTAAGCAGCCTGCTTGACTAGCACCCCTTTCACCAGCTTAAACATTTATTACCTGCAGTGCTGAAGCACAATGGCAGGAGTGTGTACTATCGACAAAGTGCACTGCAGCAACAAGCCAAGACTCTTTTAACAGCACCTGGCTATACAGCACATTCTTCTTGTGTTACGCAGGTGAAATGTTCACTTTATTCTTTCCTGCTTTCATTTTACTTCATCTGTGTTCCTCATGCTCTTTCACTGATGACACTGCTGACATGTATGGTTGCATTAAGTGGTTCTCTGCCAGGGACTGAGATAATTAGGGATTAACCAAAGACAAAAACAGAAATTGCTGGAAAAGCACAACAGGTCTGTCAGTCCTGAGGAAGAGTCTCTCCACCCGAAATGTTAACTCTGATTTCTCTCCACAGTTGCTGTCAGACCCGCTGTGCTTTTCCAGCAATTTCTATTTTTGTCTCTGATTTACAACATCCACAGTTCTTTCAGTTTTTACTAGAGCTAGACCAGTATTGACTGGCCTTTCCATGTGAAAAAGAATATCAGCTAGTTATGATTAGGGCAAAAACTGCAAATTGGGTGTGGGTACAATTACTGAAATCATAACTGAGTCCTGCTTTCTTGTTACACTTTTGTTTAATTGATTCATTCACAGAAGCAAGCTTCAATGACAAGACCAGCATTCATTATTCAGACTGGGAACTCTAAAGGTAGCAGCTACATAGGGATTGCACCATGTATAAGATCCCTCTAAGTAACACACCATTATGATTTAGGAATACATTGCATTTGTTCACTGCGTTAGGTTAAAATTCCAAAGCTCCCAATCTGACAACTGTGTCAATGAACCTACAGCACACGGATGACAACAGATCGAGGTGACGGTTCACCATCAATCTCTCTAGGGAAGTTAGCGATCAGCAATGATTGCTTGCCATATAGACACAACAACAGTTAGTAAACTACCTGCAGAACAATCTGGGCAACACTGGCCAGGAACCAATATAGGGTGTGCGCAGGTCTCCAAGCACTCTGTCCTCTTACAAACAATTGAACCATCTTCCTGAAATGAAACAGACAGTGAGAGCAAGGAACAGTAGCACAAGTAAACAATCCAAAAGGAAATAACCGAGAGACAATCCTCTGAGGACACACAAATACGTCCTTCCCAGTTGGTAATTTGAGTTTCTCTTTCCTAGCTGCACTCACCTGACACACACACACTTCACAAGGATCACCAGGTGACCATATTTGCCCGACTGGAAATTCAATACCATTGTCATCTATAAAACAGCCTGTCAGGGAGAAATGGTACAAAACGGAATCAGAGAAATTCAAAATTCCATTAAAAATGAATACGAATAACTAGTTGTTGCAAAGAATCAGCTAAATTCTGTTAAACTCTGTATGGTTGTAAATTCATCATCCAAACTATTATGGAGGATAATTCAAGCTTCGAACAAGAAACTTCTTGAAACCAATTTATGAACACACTCAAATGAAAAAGAAAACAGGCATTATTAATGTTGAAAATCAAAACATATACTGAAAAGACATTGATCAGTTAACAGCAAGGGTAGATTACGTCTTTGATAAATCTGAAGTATGCCACCTTTTTGTAAAATTATTTGAATAAAAAGCGAGTTGTTGAAGAGAAACAGCTGATATTCCAATCGCAGCATGGAAATTGATGGCATTTTGTAACTATTTGATGTGACATAAATGATTAACTAAGTGAGGAGATGAGAAGGTATTCAATGGAGACGAGAAGGTATTCAATGAAGATGAATGCACGTGTGGCTAAGACATTGAGTAGACTGGAGTTTGAGGAAGCTGCGTATCACAAACAGTTCCTCTTTTGCCTCATAGTTATATGTGTACGATTGCTCAGGATGCACTTATTCCAAAATGGAGCCTGGAATATTCCTCAAAGCCCTAGCTCACCTTTGATGCTTTTATCCTGACGACAGGTAAAACAGCATTGGCCAGGCTCCAGAAACCAATTTTCCCTGGCACAGTCCAGCACTGGGCAGGGGCTGTAGGAACACTCCACTTCACCATTCTGAGGATACAATAAGTCAGATTTAATGATTAAAAGAGAAATGATCATTATTTGTCAAAATGAAAAAAAATCAATTGTAGTCCTGGCTTTATATCTGGTGATAGTATTGATACTCTATTCTGTGTTTTAGCTACCATTCAAAGTGGCAACAACAGCATCTGTTGGAGTCATTTTGTGAGTCCAGTTGCTTAAGCAATAAGGCAAAGTGTTTGGCAGATTGAGAAGGAAAGAAAGCTAAGGAAATCCTAAACTCCAGATCCCACTAGCTCCTGGGGTGCCCTGCCCTCTGTGCCAACCAATATGTTGGTTATGAAACAACCCGTTTAATCACGTGAAGAACCATGGCAGAAACTCTCAACCCTGAGCACACATCATCCTCAAATCAGCCAACAATGTGTTTGTTTTGTTCATTTTCATACACACTTGTGCGTCCCTTCACTACAGAAGAGTTAGGTGGAATTTATATGAAACCAATGATTTTAAGTTACAATGATATCCACAGGGCATATAATGGAAGCAAGGTGGGTGCGTGCAGGTTACATTTACCTAAACTATAGGTCTAGACTGAAAGCCTCCACTGCATTGACCTCAACCACAGGTTGGGTCATCCTTTGTAAGAATTGGAAAGGAAAATAAAACACTTGCATTTACAATCGCCAAACTGGCTCAGAAGGGAAAAAGGAGCTTGCAATGATTAGCGATGTATGTTGGAATGAACCTATAGTGAGTGAAATTTGCTTTCGGTAGACATTTATGATGGTGGGTATTAGGATGGTAGGTTTTGTATAGCAGAGATAAGAATGGGAGAAGTGATGGGTAAACAATTGAGGGATTTAGATTAGTGAAAAATTACAATATCCCATGGAATATGACTTACAGATAATTGCAAGGCTGAGCTGAAGATAAGACATATTTATTTGGAAAGGCCGTGCTCTGACAGTGAATGAACAATCCGTCAACACTGTAGTAAAATAGATTGCACATATGGGTATCATGTCCATTTTACCATAAATTAGTTTCTGAATTCATCTGCATCTAATTCTCCTTCAGAGTCCTTTCCCCTAGTTCAGGTATAGTCTATAAATGTGCCTCCAGCTACCTGCACTATGTCAACTCCATGGCCAATTTCTGAACTGTCCTTCGATGATTTGTTTTCATTCATTCACGGGATGAGGACATTGCTGTATAGGCCAGCATTTATTGCCCATCCCTAATTGCCCAAAGGGCAGTTATGAATCAACCACATTGCTGTGGGTGTAGAGTCACACATAGGCCAGACCAGGTAGGGATGGCAGTTTCCTTCCCTAAAGGACACTAGTGAACTGGATGGGTTTTTCCTGACAATCGGCAATGGATTCATGATTAGACCCTTAATTCCAGACTTTTATTGAATTCAAATTCCTCCATCTGCTGTGGCGGGACTCGAACCCATGTCCTCAGAACCTTACCTGGGACTCTGGATTAACAGTCCAGCGATAATGCCACTAGGTCATTGCCTCCCCATGAGAGCTTCGAGAGAATTAACCCTCTCGTTGCAGACAGCTGCTAATGTTGAGCAGTGGTAGGATTCAAATCAAGAATTCTGTTTGTATTCATTTAGGCAGGCCATAATGCAACTATGAATTTCTCTGCCTAGTATTTAATATCATAGGAACACAGGAACAGGGGTAGGCCACTTCAGTCTTTTCTATCATTTAAGATGAGCATGGCTAATTGAACACTTCAATGCCTTTTACCCACACTATCAGCATAACCATTTACACCATTGATAATCAAAAATTACCAATCTCTACTTCAAACGTACCCAAAAGCCAAGCTGCATGGCACTCTAGGGAACAGACTTCCTCTGAGTACAAGCCTCTAAGTAAAAAGATTTGCCCTTACTTCAGTCTTAAATGGCAGCCACCTTATCTTTAAATAGGGCCCCTGGTTCTAGACTCCCCAACAAGGGAAACATTTACCATGCCTATCCCTTTAAGCATTTTGTAGGTTTCAAGAGATCACCTCTCATTCTCCAAAACTCTAGAGACTAGAGGCCAAAGTAGTTTCCTCATTGCAAGGTCCTGTTATCTGAGGATCAAGACTGGTGAACCTTTATTGTGCTTTCTTACTCGCTGACAATAATATATTTCCGCAGATAAGGAGACTAAAACTGCACACAGTACTCCAGGTCCAGTCTAACCAAGGTCCTATACAATTGAAACAAAGATTCTACACTCCTGCACTCAAATCCTCTTGCAATAAAGGCTAACAGTCCATTAGCCCTTCTGAATAGCTTGCTGCACCTACATGTTAGCCTTCAGTAACTTACTGACAAGGACCCCCAAGCCTCTTTACACATCTACACTTTCCAACCTCTCAACACTTAAGTACATCTGTCTTTCCAACCAGAGTGGCTCAGATAAATACAATAATTTTAACAGTCTGGATCTTAAACTTGAGGCTTGCAACCCCTGTCTTGAGAACACTGTGCTCCCTAAGACCACTTCTAAACCATGAATGATTGCCAATAGGATGCACAAACGAAAGGAAGGTTCTAACTACCTATGCAATGCTGTAGCTATTTCTCAAGAGACTTCTTGTCTACAAAAACAGCAGCCTTCGTAAGTAAACTCCCATGTCCGAACACAAAATATCGAAAGTGGCCACAGTCCCCTCTCTCATTTTAGAGAGAGAGAAAGAGAGAGAGAGCGCAAGATGGCTGGAAGTGGGTTTAACCTGAGGGTCACCCACCTCAGGCGAGGGGGTGAGGTTGAGAAAGCAGAGTGTTACATGATGACCTCAGGAACGGAACTCATGTTGTTGGCATCACTCTGCATCACAAACCAGCCTTGCAGCCAACTAAGCTAACCTTGACTCGACCACAGGAAGGAATAAAACTGTTCAAAAACAAACTTTAGCGAACATTATACAGTGCTAGAAACATTTGAATTTTCCAGCTGGACACTGGATAATTTTGTACTATTGCTGTGTGACCTAGCAGCTCCAGATATCTCAGGTTTCAGCGCTTTCAACAACTTACCAAGCATACACAAATGATGCAGTCAGCACCAGGTCTTGTGAATTCTGTGCCATGCGGATATACTGTGTCCTGATCAGTACACTCAGCTGAGGAAAATAGAAATGACAACAATGACTACAATGTGAAATTAACTAATTTGACCAAACATTTTTAAAAACTTATTTGGGTCTAATTTTTCCGTTGGTTAAAGACAGTGCACACGCAGATTGTGTATTTGCAACAATGCTGTGCATTAAAATTATGAGTGAACACAACCTTTTGGTCATGGTTCTAAAGTTGTTCCTGGAGTAACACATGTAGATTAAGTTATACTAAAGTATCAAAGGACAAGGTCTCTTTGAACATATGGCTGCTCAGTGAAAAATAAATAGAAGTGAAGAAATTCAAGAGGGAACTCAGGAGAAACTTTTCATTTGCAACATGCTAAGAACTTGGAATGCATTCTAGTAGCACTAATAGTGGTAATGGCAAAGAACATTGGCATGTTGAAGAGAAAGACAGATAAGCAAAAAGATCAAAAGAAATAAAAGTTTGTGCTAATAGAGTTAGATGAAGGGGGGTGGAAGGAGGCTTATCTGGCTTATAAATGTCAGTGTGGACCCGTTGGGCAGATTGGCCTGATTCTGTGCTGTAGGCTTGATATAGTTTGGAGCTCTCTCCAGTAGTTTAGTGCATATCGCAAGTAATGACAACTATCCACAATGCAGCAAATGTATTTGTTTGGCATTGACGAGGATGGCACCAATAAGGAATGGCAGATGCCATGCTATCACATTAGGGAGTTCTTCCCAGGTGTAGAGGTGACATATTATTGGGGCAATGTGATTTAAACATGTCACTAATGCTGAGAATGCTTTATGTGGCAGAAAGAAGGCAGCTTTCTGCTTTCTTTTACTCATTCATGGGAAATGGGTGCTGCTGACTGAACCAGCCCTAATTTTCCTTGAGAAGGTCACAGTGAGCTGCCTTCTTGAACTGTACAGTCCATTTAATTTGGGTAGGCCCATATGCCATCAGGGAGATGATGCCAGGATTTTAACCCAGCAACACAGAGGAATGGTGATATATTTACAAGTCAAGATGGTGAGTGGCTTGGAGGGGAACTTATGAGTGGTGGAGTTCCAATATATCTGCTGCCTTTGTCCTTCTAGACAGTAGTGGTCATAGGTTGGAAGAAGCTTTCTAAGAAAATTTCTGCAGTGTATCTTGTAGATAGTACACACTGCTGCTACTGAGTGTCTGAGGTGAATGGAGGTGGATGCTTGTGGACATTTGGCCATTCAAGCAGGCTACATTGACTTGGATGGTATCAAGCTTCTTCAGTCTTGTTAGCGCTGCATCCATCAAGGCAAGTGGGAAGTATTCCATCACACTCCTGACTTGTGACTTGTAGATGGTAGATAAACTTTTGAGAGTCAGGAGGTGAGTTATTTGCTGCAGTATTCCTAGCCTCTGGCCTACACTTGTAGTCACTGAATTTATAAAGCTCATCCAGTTCAGTTTCTGGTGAATATTAAGCCTCTGGATGTTGATAGTGGGGGATTCAGCGATGGTGGTATAAGTAAATGTCAAGGGAAGTGTTCTTGTGGCACAGTGGCAGTGTTCCTACCTCTGGACCAAGAGGCCTGGGTTCAAGTCCCACCTGCTCCAGAGATGTGTAATAACATCTCTGAACAGGTTGATTAGAAAATATCCTTGAACATCACGGCGTCGTGGTTAGATCCACTCTAATCGAGGATGGTGATTGCCTGGCAGTTATGTGGTGTGCATGTTACTTGTCACTTCTTAGCCCAAGCTCAGTTCTGATGATCAGTCACTGGACCTGAAACGTTAACTCTGCTTTCTTCCTACAGATGCTGCCAGACCTGCTGAGTTTCTCCAGCAATTTCTGTTTTTGTTTCAGATTGCCAGCATCAGCAGTTCTTTATTTCATTTTAGGCCAAACTGGATATTGTCCAGGTCTTGCTGCATTTGTACACGGTCTGCTCCAGTATCTGAAGGGTTACAAATGGTGCTGAACATTGTGTAATCTTCAGCAAATATCTCCACTTCTAACCTTCTGATGGAGGAAAAGTCATCGATCAAGCAGCTGAAGATGCTTGGACTTAAGAGGTGTTCAATGAAATAGTTTGTGGGAATTAATTGCCCAGTTGTTTTATATTATCAGATTCCAGTGCCATATGGGTATACCTTGAAGAAGAAGAAGTTAGTTTTGAGTTGTTGAGGGGACAGAGAGGATATTGTTATTTAAAGTCTGAAGCATGTTCTTATGAGTCATCATGCCCACAGAAGTACTATTCTGATATCCTACAATTTTAGCTATTCAATTCACAGATTATGGTTTACCATCAGACTCCCTGCATACATTGATGTATCAAGGGATAAACTGCAGCCTGGGTTTAGCAGTTTTGATCGCTAACTATTTCCATGACCTTTCAAGAGAAAGCAATGCCCTTGATGGGCTAGACTCCTTTGTAATTGCTGGAGAATTCTAACTATGGACTTGATAAGAGCAGTTCTCAAATAAAGATAGGGAAGGGCAAAATGGATGTAGTTCATTCAGAGGAGATATAAAGCTTTCCCATATGAAACGAACAACCGGAGTTTGGCCAGCTTGAGGTTATATCAAGTAAGCCAATTCTCTGTGGGGAATTATATAGCCTAAATATATAGAGAGACGTAAATTCTTGAAGTTAAGACAAATTGTTCTAAATGCACTAATCTGTGATCAATTTCAGAAGGTCTGGTGCACAGTTGCTCCCAGAGGATATACTAACCTGGGCAAATAGGACAACAATCCAGAAGAATGGGTTTCTCACATGTGACTGGAGGGCATTCAGGGGTGATGCACTTCACATTCCCAGACTGGAGGAAATAAAAAGGATTGACTGGTTTTAGTGTCCCCAGTCAAAAGCAATGAAACATTGGTCAAAACTCAAATTAAGCATTTTGCTGTGAGTAAATTGTTCTTGACATTTCTTTGAGCTACCCCAATGACATGATGGGCTGGTGAAATTTAGATCTGTAACTGAGTTGGACAATTACAAGGAGATGCCTTGCCTAACCTTACCTTGGCAATGTTTAAAGGAACTCACCTCTAGACTGCCAGATTGAAAAGTGAAGCAGGAAGCAGATTCTTCTGCTGTTGACCAGTGAAATGCTAAGAAGTGACCAAAAATTGAAAAGGCCACAGCAACTTGAAATTTTTTCCAATTAAAACATCTAATTGATACGATTAAGAAATGATGGCATTAGGGAACTCTATCCCTCAGTCGTAATATTACTTTTTTTTTAACCTGCATAATGCTCAAAATACCGAGGACAGTGGGCAAATTTGTTGCTGAAAATCTCCAAAACGTGCTTTAAAAATGCACTGATGTCAGTAACCTATGTGAGAAAAGTCATGCCAGTATAGGGGAGAGGCAGAAGCAGTGAAGAGATGCTCTGTCAATTACATATTGTTTTTAACATTTCTGCTCAGCCTCACAGTCACAATTTCCCTCTCTTGCACTCTCGATGCTCTTCCAAAGACAGAATCTGAGATTGGAGAAGCAGGAGGAAGGGAAGCTGTAAATTGCTGAGTTGAGGGAGTTAATCTGGCTGATCTGTCAGCCACTATGTAGCAGAGTTAAAACAGCCTGGAGCAATGGGCTATTCAGGGGACTGAGCATCCATGGCAGCCAGGCCAGATTGTCAGCTTGGGGGTGGTGGGGGACAGCAGAGACACCAGGCTCAGTATCAACCGATCCACAAACAATTGGGTAAGTACCATATCCTCATTTTTTCAGGTTATAGAAATAATTCTTGTAAAATCAGCATTAATGTCGCATCATTTTTATGTAAAGTATGCATTTAACAATTTATTTTGAAAAATGCATAAAAAGATATGGAGTATGGGAGATTTATTTGTTATACATTAACAAAAATATTCTTATTTATAGATTCCAAATTAGAAGATTTAATAAATTATGTTCTCTTATTAATCTAAAGAATAAACCCCTAAACAACGCAAATACAGAAATTAATATTCCTGTATCAACAAATAAAGGAATTAATGAGAATGAAAATGTAGCCCCAAAATCTAAAAGTAGCCCTCAAAAAAAATCTCACAAAGAGCCCTCGACAGAGATATGATTTTGATTCCTGTATCTGCATGAAATGCTTCATCGATAGATAAATTTAAACCAAAGTACTTCACATATGCAGATTTTTTTTTTGCCTTGGATATCTGCCAGGACTAAGTTTTTTTTACATTAAATGCATACTCAATTACAATTATTGCTTTACATTTTAATTTGAGGGAACTAACTCTCAGAAAGAATATTTATTCAGGGTTGATCTGTACCAGAGGGAAGAACAGCAAAAAAGGTCAGATGCAGCAGGAAGGGAGAGAAGAAGAGATGCACTGGAAGACTGGAGACAAATATGCAGAGGGGTTGAAGACTTCATTGAAAAATTGATGATCGAGGACGGCTGCAATGAAGGTTTGAAGCTGCAGGGGTGGACCCCTTTGATGGTCTAGAGTCTCAGGGAAAGACTCAACAAAGTATTGGTGATGAAGGGGCCCAAACATTGAAGCGTTAGTGATAGTGCAAAAGGCACAGCAAATGCTGGAAATAAAAATACAGGTAGAATGAAGGAACAGTGGTCAAGAGAATTGCATGCTAAACGCAATTCTTGAACAAGTTGTCGTACAAGAAATCAGAGGTGAAAATGAAAAGGCAATCACCAACCTAATTGGATGAATTCAAAGAGCTAGTTTAGCAGTCAAATCCATGGAACCAAATTACTTAGCAACAATGGCTGGTTCCTTTGTGAACATAATGAAAAGTTTTAGCTTTGGTCATTATTAGCCATTTATTGAACAGGAAAAAAATGCTTTATATGTAGTTGTTTATACTGTTACATAAGCACCCATCAAAGACTATTGAACTTTTAACTTTATTCCTTTATTTTTCTAGTTTATATTAAGGAGGACTTTAATGTTAACTATTACCTTTTTTTAATTTTTCACTCATTCTATGAAGGTAATGCTTAAATTTTTTAACTTTGTTTCTTTTACTAATTTGTACCTCATTTTTTTGTCTCTCAGTACCGTTGTATCTAAGATGGTGTCATGTGTGGCACCATTAGGCACTTTTCACTGTATTTCTGCACTTGACTACACATGACAATCAAATCTAAATCTAAATTTGAAGAATGGCAGGGTGTTGGCCAGCATCCTTCCCACGAACAACACCAAAGACAGATTCTGAAAGGTCACAGACCTGAAACTTTAACTATATCTCTCTCAGCACAGATGTCACCAGACCTGCTGAGTATTATCAAAACTTTCTGTTTTTATTCATTTTTTTTTTGCCATCCACAGTATTTTGTATTTACCAAAGATTAATTAAGTGGTCATCCATCACTTGTGTTTGGTGGGATCTTGCTATATCCAATTTAGACCACCATACCCATCTACATACAATAAAAAAGGACATTAATTGATTGTAAAATGCTTTGAACTATATAACAGATGTAAAAAGGACATTACAGAAATAGTAATTTCATGCTTTGTCTCTCTCTTCCACAAATGGCTAGAGGTTGTACATACTCCTAAAAGTGGGTGGCACGGTGGCTCAGTGGTTAGCACTGTTGCCTCACAGCGCCTGGGACCTGGGTTCAATTCCACCCTCAGGTGACTGTGTGGAGTTTGCACATTCTCCTTATTTCTGCATGGGTTTCCTCCAGGTGCTCTGGTTTCCTCCCACAGTCCAAAGATGTGCAAAGTTAGGTGGATTGGCCATACTAAATTACCCATAGTGTTTAGGGATGTGCTGGTTAGGTGCCTTAGCCATGGGAAATGCAGGGTTACAAAGATAGGGTGGTCGGATTGGGATGCTCTTTGGAGGGTCAGTGTGGACCAAATGGCCCATTTCCACACTGTTCGGGATTCGATTCTAAACCTAGAAAACCTCTTATACCTCTGAATGGTGTTTTAAGCCAGCTCTGTTCCTATTAACATGGAACAAAAACAAAGTTGCTGGAAAAGGTCAGCAACGAAGGGTCACCAGACCTGAAACGTTAACTCTGTTTTCTCCTTCACAGATGCTACCGGACCTGCTGAGCTTTGCCAGCAACTATGTTTTTGTCCTTGATTTGCAGCGTCCGCAATTCTTTTGGTTCCTTTTAACATGGATTTGGTAGTCTTATTACCATTATTGTTACATATTTGTAGCCTATTACAAACAGGATATCCTACTTACAATACAGACACAAAGGGTACAATTGTCATTGGAGGGAGAGAATACATCTTCATGGTTCACAACCATGCCTTCATAGAGACACTCTGAAATATCAAAAAAGAATGTTCATTGGAATGGCAGAACAAAAATAATGTGACATATTATCAACCAAATATATATAGCAAGGACCAGGCTTTGGTTATAAAAGCAATATATTTCAGCACAAGCCTGAGAAAAACGTGTCCAATCCCAGGTAAATGATATTTAAACTAACCTAGAGTTTCCTGGGTTATCTCTGACTAAGCCGCATCATCTGATGACCATCCTGACAGACCAAACTGTACAAATAAAAACTACTAGGATTTATTTAATTTTTCAATTAATTCTTAGAAGCCAAATAAGAGAGGAAGGTCTGGATTTAAGCAACATTAAGAAATAAAACTGACATTAATGCATAAACGGGGTTAAACAATATATTTCAGAACACAAGAGTCAACAGCTAGGTATACTTTTGATCTTATACGTGAATGATGAAAATCACAGTTCATCTATGGGGCTCAGATTTCCTGCTGGGACAATGTGAGAGATCTCTATATTAATCTGTTTCCAGGATCACTGTAATTGGAGGTGTCAGTTACCCATTATTAAAGGTACAAACAGTGGGAATTAATGCACAAAGTGCTCTTACATTGGTTAAACTTCCATGCTTAACAAAGTACCACTTATTTCCCATTCAACACAACAAACAAGTTGGGATAATTTGTATCCTATTTATCAGGTCATTTATTTATCTGGTGGAGAACACATCTAAGCCAAGCTTCACTTTGGAATTAGTGGAGAGAGAATGTTTCTATTTTAATTCCACTTCAGATCCACTGTGACTGCAGTTTATGTGTATCCACTTCATCCCTCCCCTGCAATTGCTAAAACCGACCATAGCAAGAGAAATAACATTGTGGGAACACCAGTACCTCTGAGATCCCTATCAAGTCACACTACACATCACCCTGACTTCGACATTAATCACCATTTCTTCATCAACACTGGTCCGAATTCTGGAACTTCCCATCCAGTGTAGAGTAGGAACACTGTCATCACAACAGCTGACCAAAAGAGACACCACCACCAAAAACTGAATGACATAGACTGGGAATAAGCATCAGCCTTTCCCACACACACATCCCAAGAATACAACAGTGAACCACCCACTGGAATAAATTTAACTACCTTAGTTTGAAACGCACAAAAAAAAAATCTGTGCTTGTCCTTAAGGGAGTTTTGCTGCAGTTTGCATGAAGATATTTTGCCACAACATATCGCAATGTTTCATCTGTTATCCATATCAAACCATGGAACACTCGGTTAGATACGTTAAGTCTAGCTTGCTTAATGACTGACCTGGAGTTGTTTGATACTGACACTGATAACTAAAAAGGAAGGGTTTCCTTTTCACTGACGTGAAAATTCATCAAAAAAAAAAAAAGACCAATACTATATTACCAGACTATTCCTGTCACTGGTGTATGGTCTGCTTTCTGTAAATACTGTATCAAATATATTGGTTGAATCATTTTACTCCAATGAGATTTTTTTGAAAGACTACATAATACTCACTATCACATGTTCCACAGCATTGACCTTCCTCCCGGACCTGATGGCTACAAGACGATTCACAGATAATAGGTTGACAAAGCACTTCCCCTTCCTGAAATGTCAAGAGCATGGGATAATCTCAGATCATGACAAAAAGATCCACATTTTCTTTACATTGCAGCAATCAGAACTAAAGTAACACAATCCAAACAGTTGTTAAAAAGTTAAGAATAAATTTCTGATCCTGATTAGATCACTTTACATGGCTTTTTGACTTAGTTTGACTTATTATTTCACTTTCTTATTAATTTCTCAGTCTATTCTCTCCCCTTAGGATTAGGGTAAAATTTCGGCACAACATCACGGGCCGAAGGGCCTGTAATGTGCTGTAGTGTTCTATGTTCTATTCTATTTAAGATATTTTACATACCTTATCAAGCCTAAATTGAAGAAATTGAGATTCTCTAATGCCCCCAAATTCTTTATTCATTCACAGTATGTGGGCATCGCTGGCTCGGCCAGCATTTATTACCCATCCCTAATTGCCCAGAGGGCAGTTAAGAGTCAGCCACATTATTGTGGGTCTGGAGTCATATGTAGGCCAGACCAGTTTCCTTCCCTAAAGGACATTAGAGAAACAGATGGGTTTTTCCAACAATCACGGTCATTGTTAGACCCTCAATTCCAGATTCTTTTTATTGAATTCAAATTTTACCATCTGCCATGGCAGGTATTGACCCCGGGTCACCTGAACATTAGCTGAGTTTCTGGATTAAGAGCCTAGGAATAATAACACTAGCCCATGCCTCCCCACATGGTTCTCTATATTTGTATTTGGCATCATTCCTTCTGGTTTTCGCTCCACCCCCTCTGATGCAAAAAGTTTCTTGAAGGTTAAAACTTGACAAAAGTAACATTGACTAAGATAATGTCATGGTTACATTATGTAAATGTTTTGTAAAAAGTAGTTATTACTTTAAAAAGAGTTGCTAGACTTTGATCATTCAGGCAGCGTACTCTGCCCATCATCTGGAATTGAAAAACATAATAATATAGTGGAGCAAGGAATTTGAGGGATCAGATTGGCTTTTGCTGCTTCTGACTAGTTGACTGTGCAGAATGGATGGAAACATGTTTGAGTAAGGGGACCCCTGATCACTGATGAGAAGGGCAATATCTTGGAGAACAGTGTGATGTTGGGAGATCTCCATGGCCATGCAATGAGCTTTATATTGGATCAGCCATAATCCTATTGAATAGCAGAGCAGACTCAATTGATCCTATAAGCCTACTCTTGCTCATACTTCTTATGGTCTTATCCCAGGGCATGATGGATAAGATTAGAGCTTGATAATTGGTTATAGTGGTTTTTAAATTGTACATGTTTGACTGTAGCAGATTGTCCATTTGGAACAGACTTGATGTTCCATAAATCTCATGGAAAGTTGCCTATAGATCCCTGCCACTTTCCAACCTCTTCTCCAACTCATTTCCTTCTCCAGTCTTTGTTCTAGACGATGAGCAGAGCACGCTGTCCAAATCGTCATCAGTAATTCCAAGGAACTCTTTCAAAGTAACAACTGCTTTGTCCAGAGCAAGTTTTACATGATGTAACTGTCAAACCACCTCTCTGATGTATGTCATTATTTTTGGTAATGATCAGATTTGCACATGGCAGCTAAGATTTTCTGTCCTGACAGAAACACGTTTACATTAATCCCTTTTACACAAAGTGCATTCCTCACTACAACTTGGCTCAGTTTTGTACTTTTAAAATGATCACAATACATATAGTGGAT